TGTTATTATCTAGCCTGTAGTGGGGTGCTCTATAGCGGGTACAACCCAGTTAGGGTTTGCTATATGTATCCCAACTGCAGCTAGTGAAACCCCCTCTTTGCTCATTTCTCTCTTGCCTAGCTAGGTAAACCCGCTCCTCATCGTGCCTACTATTCTGACAGACCACAGTCTATACAGACCACTGCAGTCTCAAATACCTGAAGTCACAGCCGACGCTCTCACGACGACAGGTGCGGTGGGTGGATTTCTTGGAGACCCACTTCCACTACGACATCGTCTACAAACCCGGGCTCCACAACAAAGCAGACGCGTTGAGCCGCCCAGGTCATGTAGCAGGCATCCAGCTCGAAGGGATGAACCCTCTGCTCAAGGGTCTATTCCAACATGGGTACTCCGTCGACGCAGAAATCGCAACGGCAGAGAAACAGAAGCTGTTACAGTGGGAGAAAGACTTAGCGGTAAGGAAGGGTTCAGGAAAGATTTGGGTACCGAATTACGCCCCGCTACGGCAGATCCTTTTAGAGGAGTTTCACGACGTACCATACGCGGGACATTTCGGGAGCAACAAAACGTTAGCGGGAATAGCAAAGTATTACTACTGGCCTCGGATGGTAGCAGACGTGCAGCAGTTCGTCACCTCCTGCGACACGTGCCAGCGGATGAAGAGTAGCAAGCAGAAGAAAGCAGGGTTACTTCAGCCTCTACCCGTACCGGAGCAGCCATGGCAGGTCGTTAGTCTCGACTTCATCACAGGACTTCCCTCGACCTCACGAGGACACGATTCCATCCTCGTAGTGATCGACAAGTTCTCCAAAATGGGTCACTTCATACCGACCAACGCCACAGCTACTGCTGAAGCAACTGCTCGCCTCTTCTTCGACCGCATCATCACCATCCACGGCATCCCCGCTACACTCATCTCAGACAGAGACCCCAAATTCACGAGTAAGTTCTGGAAGGAGCTTATGGGATTGTTGGGGACTAAGCTTGCGATGTCTTCAGCATACCATCCTCAGACTGACGGACAGACAGAGCGACTCAATCAGGTGGTTGAACAGTTACTGCGCACAGCTTGCAAAGACGACATCAGCCACTGGGATACACAGTTACCGACCTTAGAGTTCGCTTACAACAACGCCTCGCATGCGGCCACAGGAAAAACTCCTTTCTTCCTGTGTTACGGACGGGAACCACTCACACCACAGCAGCCAACCACACCGGCACACGTCCAAGCCGCACACGACTTCGTCACCACCATGCAACAGCTATGGGAGAAGACTCAGCGGCGTCTCACCACGATGCAGAACTCCCAGAAGCAGTATGCCGATCGTCAGCGACGGGATCACTCAGTAGCAGTCGGAGATCAGGTGCTTCTCGACACGCGCAACTTGAACCTGTCTCACCTTCCATCCAAACTCCGGCCTCGCTTCTGTGGTCCATTTCTCGTGGAGTCCCAGGTGACACCAGTTACATTCCGCTTGCGCTTACCAGATACGTGGAAGCTTCACAATGCTTTCCATGTTCAGCTACTGAAACCCTACAAGGACCCCAACCAACAGTTCCAGGGACGGCAGCTACCGCCACCACCACCTGTTCTTGTGCAGGATGAACCAGAGTACGAGATCGAGCGTGTTCTCACTCATCGGCGCCGCGGCGGCAAGACCCTCGAGTTCCTGATACGCTGGAAGGGATATGACCCCACTAAGGGCAATTGGGTTGCAGAAGCTGATATGGGCAATGCACGCCGTGCTCTCAAGGACTATCTTGTCAAGCAGGGTGTATCTCACGCCACCCAGCTTTGAGGGGGGGACGTGTGAGAGTACGACGGCTTATGCTTGTTATTCATGCTTGCTATTATTTCCTTACGCTATTTCTAGCTTAGGATTATTTTATGCATGCATGAATTGCTTGATTCCTAGGCTAGGTGCTTTTCTATATTTTATATAGTTATAAGCACCGTGCTAGGTTACACCGAATTCGGAGCTATTCGGTTGCCACTGAAATGCTTTCTACCGAATTCGAGAAGGGTCTGTTCGGGACGCTTCGCGACCCGCGGAACCTTCGCGTAACACCTGGTTACTGCCCCTTGTGTCGAGCCTATATATAGCCTCGTGTTGTACCCAGGTGATCATTCAATTTACATTCTCTTTTCTGAGCTCGATCCTAAGATCCTCACACACGGGGGGCAGAGGCGGAGCTAATGCGCGGTGTATCGGGCTGCAAACATCCATATAAAATGTAGAGCAGCCGCATGGATCATGGAGGTGCGAGCAACCTCCATGATCAAGCCAATGCGGTGCTCAGCGGTCCCAGTCTGCTGTGGAGAGGCCGAAAGCATGAACGTCTGGGCGATGCCCTCCTCACAACAAAAGTCTTCAAGAAGAGCGAATGAAAACTCACCATCACGATCAGAGTGCAGATGGAGCACTAGGAGGTCCTGGGAAACCGTGCCCTCAACTGGCGACAAACTGCGCAGATCCAAGGAATCAAAACAACACGGACGTCTCCCTTATGCTAAGGAAAACACTGTGGTGTAGCGCATGAAGTTATTAACGACGAGCAAAAAGTAGTGCTTTCGGCGCGGCCCAGAAATGAGGGCAAGGCCCCACACGTTTATGTGCAACGTCTGCAGAGAAGCAGTGGTCGAAGGGAACAAGGAGGAGTGAGGAGCGGCGCGCTGCCGCCCCTCGATGCAGTGAGCGCACAGCGATGCAAGCAATGGCAATAGCGTGGGCAAGGACTGCGAGAAGCCAGACACAAGGAGCGAGTACATGCGACGCAGACGCTGGAGGGAGGGGTGACCAAGACGGTGGTGCCAGAGGAGGGATGGGTGCGCGAGTAACCAACACGAGCAAGATGTAGCGCCCTGACCTGACGCGGCTACCAGAGCAGACTCAGTGTGCAGTGTTTACAGGCCAGACCCAGGCCTCGGAATGAGCGTCATTGTCATGCGCTCGCCTCCAGGAGTGGTGGTGGTGACCAACAGATCCTAAAGGTGAGCGGTACTTACTAAGTTTATCGTACTCACATACGAGAAATATTTACCCTAAACACTACCAGCATACATAGCATACGTGGGAGCAGAGATCTGGTCCCAATTAAGAGAAAAAGCATCTACGCCTTTCTTGAGAAATCCTAACAAGTGGTGAACCATGGCCTACTCACCAAACTCCGCTCGAAAGGCATCAACGAGGCGGTAGAAGCAGCGAGCCTTTGTGTTTCTCTGCCTGCCGCAACGGAGAAAAGTGGAATGAGCAACTAAGGAACAAGGGTGATACAAATATGAACCCTGAAAGTACGGTACCCCCTACGAATATGTTTGAAAATCTCTTGATTTGCTATAGGGATTTCACCCCGACCAAAGACAGCTGGGTGTTCCTGAGGAACATCGAGGACCACCCTACCGTCATCGCCCGGATAGTAGACAGTGTTGAATAGTAGACAGGGGTTGTCTATTATCCGGGTGTCTCTTATAAACAGGCTAGCCTCATTATAAGACACCTATTTGTGTGTACGGGTTAAGCAAGTGTAGGGGCTCTAGGGGCAATTGTACAACAAGGGGGTATCTTTTAAACGGATCTTTGTCTATTTACAAGACTTATACGACACCCTAAAACTGTCCCAAATACAAGACAACCCATATTTTTGCCCGTGTACGAGATAAGACATATATGTCTTATATCCGGGCGATGACGGTATCGTCCAAATCAACTTACAAAGTCGGAGCTTCCGTGGTGTACATGCGGTAAGGGGCTTCTCGGGGAGGGGCCAGCGTAAGCGAATTATCCGGATTCACAACCGCACACCACCACAACGCGTACAACGCTCAACCGTTCTTCGTCCGTCATAGCCTAACGATGTTCACCATTTTGCGTCAGTTTTGCCAAACCACGCACTGCTTAGGGTCCTCGCTAGGATTGAGGGGTGTCTGATGCATCAGACGAGTCCCCCGGGCAAAAAAAATCTTTTGTCTAATTCTGGCTGGCCCATCAGATTAGTCCAAAAAAACCTGTCTGGAAATCAAGGCAAACAGACAAAAAAGTCTGATGTCGAGGACCCTACTGCTGGACTTGGCAAAGTCGGCCTACGCTCGGGAGTAGGTCGAGCCTCACTGCCAGCATCACACTAGCTAGCTCACACGCATGGGATTAGCGTTTACCTGTTCTGCTAAAAATTTTCACTCATGCCATCTCTCACATTTGTACTCTGTCTCTTTAGCGCAATTCTAGCTTGCTCTTTCAACTGCACTCAACAAAACCGAAGGATATCTACTTTATGCTCACACGCAACCTTATCCCTTTCAACTCCACGCTGACTTTCCCACAGCAGCACTCCAAGTTCGCAAGCAACACAAATCCTTTTGTCAAGCTAACATCGAGCCTCCATTTCTCAGTCCCATTTTAGGTCACTGCGATCTTGGCCATTCGCCATAAGCTTGGGCCTAAGGTTAAGCTTGGGCCTAAGGTTGCTGTTATCTTGGGCCTAGGTCGCATCGCAATCTGTCCTGCGAATTCGGTCTTGGTTAGCGGGATTTCGCAGCGGATTATTGTTATCCTCCGTGTTCGCGCGCCGATCGTTTATTCCCGCTTGAATTTCCGTGGAGCAGAACCGAAACAGTTGCGTAGTTAAAGAGAGTCGCGTCCTTGTAAAGTTGTCTAGTTTCAAGTTACGAGGAAAAAGCGCAACAAAGAAAAGGGCACGTTTGACTTTGCGTCGGGAGAAGTAGCCCCCCCCCCCCCCCCCCCAAAAAAAAGGGAAAACAGAAGGGAGCGTTCATAGCTGCTAATACTGCCGCTTATCCGAGCTGCGCTTTTAGTAGCTTTGCTTACAATCCGCTTAGATCCGCCATGGCGAATCCCGGGGGAGGCGCCGAGGCCTTCGCGCGATTCAAGCAGTATGAGTACCGCGCCAACTCCTCCCTCGTGCTCAACCTCGAGTCGCGTCCGCGCGACTCGCACGAGCCCACCGGCGAGCCGGAAACCCTCTGGGGCCGCGTCGACATGAAGAAATTTGGCGACCGTGCCGGCCACGGCAGGCCCAAGGAGGTGGAGGAAGCTGCGAAGAAGAAGCGCGAGAAGCGCGAGAAGGACCGCCTGAAATCGCTCGCGGCCGGCGGAACCTCCGCGGCCGGCGCCGGCGGCGACGTCGGGTTGGATCTGCTCGGGAAGAAGTCGACCAAGCGGCAGAAGCGCGGCGGAGGCGCCGGCGCCGGCGGCGCGGGTGGCGGGCTGGGGGGCCCGGGTTTTCAGGAGGACACGGTGCTGTCATTGGTCGACGACGGGATGTACCGCCCGCGCACGCGCGAGACGCGCGCCGCGTACGAGCTTCTGCTGAGCCTCATCCAGCAGCAGTTCGGGGACCAACCGCAGGACGTGCTGCGCGGCGCGGCGGACGAGGTTCTAACGGTTCTTAAAGACGACAAGCTGACGGATCCGGAGCGGAAGCGCGAGATCGAGAAGCTGCTGAACGCGATGCCGAACGAGCGGTTCGCGGAGTTCGTTGCGCTAGGGAAGCGCATCACGGACTACGAGCAGGGCGGAGGCGGAGGGGGCGGCGGAGGCGGAGGCGGAGCCGGCGGAGACGGGGAAGGCGGAGCGGGGGAGGCGCTAGACGACGATATCGGCGTGGCTGTGGAATTCGAAGAGGAGGAAGATGAGGACGACGAAGACTTAGACGAGATTCAGGAGGAGGATGAGGACGAGGAGGAGGAGGAGGGCGCGGAAGGCGGAGACGGCGGAGACGGCGCGGGGGACGGCGGAATGCAGATGGCGGGCGGGCTGGATGACGACGAGGAGCGCGAGGAGGAGGGGCTGAGCGTGCAGGACATCGACGCCTATTGGCTGCAGCGCAAGATTGCGCAGGCGTACGCCACGTCAGCAGGCGGGGGGATCGACCCGCAGCAGAGCCAGAAGCTCGCGGCGGAAGCGCTGGCGATTTTGGAGGCGGCGGGCGGCGGGGAAGGGGATGGCGGAGGGGGAAGCGGAGGCGGAGGGGGAGGGGGGGCGTCGGGATGGGGCGCGGGCGCGGGCGCGGACGAGCAGCAGCTTGAGGCGGAGAATAAGCTCGTGCGGCTTCTGGATTACGATAAATTCGATTTAATCAAGCTTTTACTGCGCAACCGGCTCAAGATTGTATGGTGTACGCGGCTGGCGCGCGCGGAGGACGACGCGGAGCGGAAGCGCATCGAGGGGGAGATGACGGAGAAGGGGGACCGCGCGCTGCGCGCGATTCTGGAGCAGCTGCACGCGACGCGCGCGTCCGCCAAGGAGAGGCAGCGGAACCTGGAGCGCAGCATCCGCGAGGAGGCGCGGAAGCTGCGCGAAGGGGGCGCGGGAGGCGCGGCGGGCGCGGGGGAGGGGATGGAGGGCGACGAGATGGAGATTGGGCGGAAGGGGGAGAGGGGGGGAAAGGGCGCGGAGGAGGGGGAAGCGGGGGGAGGGGGAGGCGGAAGAGGTGGGGCGGGCGGAGGGGGAGGGTGGTTGAAGGGGCAGCGACAGATTCTAGATCTAGATTCCCTCGGTTTCTCCCAGGGCGGATGGCTTATGGCCAACAAACGTTGCGAGCTGCCCGAAGGCTCATACCGGGCACCCAAAAAAGGTTACGAGGAGGTCCACGTGCCCGCACTGAAGCCGAAACCTCTGGCCAAGGGCGAGGAGCTGGTGAAAATTTCCGACCTGCCCGAGTGGGCTCAGCCTGCGTTCGGCGAGACGAAAACCCTAAACCGTATTCAGAGCAGGGTTTATGAAACGGCACTATTTACCCCGGAAAATATGCTGCTCTGCGCGCCGACCGGGGCAGGAAAAACAAACGTCGCGATGCTGACGATTCTGCATGAAATTGGGCTGCACAGGAGGGAGGACGGGAGTATTGACCTGTCGGGCTTTAAGATTGTGTATGTGGCGCCTATGAAAGCGCTGGTGGCGGAACTGGTGGGGAATTTGGGGAATCGGCTGAAGGAGTATGGCGTGAGCGTGAAGGAGCTGACTGGTGATGCCTCGCTGACTCGCCAGCAGATCGAAGAGACCCAGGTGAGGGGCGGTGGTGCAGTGGTATTCGGTGGTTGGTTGGTAGGGGTGTGGCGGCGGGATGAAAAGGTTTACTGACACATGCAGGGAACTGGTGGGGAATCTGGGGAATCGGCTGAAGGAGTATGGCGTGAGTGTGAAGGAGCTCACTGGAGATGCCTCGCTGACTCGCCAGCAGATTGAGGAGACCCAGGTAAGGGAAACCGTGCACGACCACTGCGGACCGTCCCCGAAAGCCTCGTCGCGCGAACCGTGCACCCAGAAGATGATCCGGCTCGTCGGGCTCTCCGCTACTCCCCCTCACTCTCTCCCCCTCTCTCCCTCACCCTCTTCCCTCCTCACCCCCAGATCATAGTAACAACCCCTGAGAAATGGGACATCATAACGCGCAAGGCAGGCGACCGCACGTACACACAGCTAGTGCGGCTGGTGGTGAAGTGGGACATAGTGCTTTTTGTCTCCTTCTCACCTTTACACTCCGTCCCCTCCCTCCTCACCCCGCCCAGATCATAGTCACCACGCCCGAGAAGTGGGACATCATAACGCGCAAGGCAGGCGACCGCACGTACACACAGCTGGTGAAGCTCGTGATCATCCCCTCCCTCTATCCCTCTCTTTCCCTCCTTCTTTCCCCCTCATTCCCCCTCCCCTCCCCCCCTTAGATCATAGTCACCACGCCCGAGAAGTGGGACATCATAACCCGAAAGGCAGGGGATTGCACGTACACACAGTTAGTCCGCCTCGTCATCATCTATTCTCTCTCTTCTCCCAACCCCCTCCCCCTCAGATCATCGTCACGACTCCCGAGAAGTGGGACATCATAACGCTTAAGGCAGGGGATCGCACGTACACACAGCTGGTGCTGCTGCTGGTGACCTGGTTGTAGTGACGAGACCACTGTCTCCTTCTCAACCCCACACTCCCTCCCCTCTACCCCCCAGATCATCGTCACCACCCCCGAGAAGTAGGACATCATAACCCGAAAGGCAGGCGACCGCACGTACACACAGCTGGTCCGCCTGGTGATCATCGACGAGATCCACCTGCTGCACGACCACCGCGGGCCCGTGCTCGAAAACACCAAGGGCCTTAACATCCCCCTCTCTCTCCCTCTCTCCGCCTCTCTCCCCCTCTCTCTCTCCCTCTCACACTCTCTCCCGTCTCCCATATCATCGTCACCACCCCAGAGAAGTGGGACATCATAACGCGCAAAGCAGGCGATCGCACGTACACACAGCTGGTGAAGCTGGTGATCATCGACGAGATCCACCTGCTGCACGACCACCGCGGGCCCGTGCTCGAAAACACCAAGGGCTTTAACATCCCCCTCTCTCTCCCTCTCTCCGCCTCTCTCCCCCTCTCTCTCCCCCTCTCACACTCTCTCCCGTCTCCCAGATCATCGTCACCACCCCAGAGAAGTGGGACATCATAACCCGAAAAGCCGGAGACCGCACGTACACACAGCTAGTGAAGCTGGTGATCATCGACGAGATCCACCTGCTGCACGACCACCGCGGACCCGTCCTCGAGAGCATCGTCGCGCGAACCGTGCGGCAAGTCGAGAGCACCCAGGAGATGATCCGGCTCGTCGGCCTCTCCGCCACTCTCCCGAACTACGAGGACGTGGCGATTTTCCTGCGGGTCGATCTGGACAAGGGGCTGTTTTACTTTGACAACTCGTTCCGCCCGTGCCCGCTCGCGCAGCAGTACATTGGGATTACCGTTCGGAAGCCGCTGCAGCGGTTTCAGCTGATGAATGAGATTTGTTATGAGAAAGTGGTGGAGTGCGCGGGCCGGCACCAGGTGCTGGTTTTTGTCCATTCCCGGAAAGAGACGGGGAAGACGGCCCGCGCGGTGCGCGACGCGGCGCTGGCGGCGGATACCCTGGGGCGGTTTCTGAAGGAGGATGGGGCGAGCAGGGAGATTCTGGCGAGTGAGGCGGAGAGTGTGATGAGTGGCGAGTTGAGGGACCTGCTGCCGTATGGGTTTGCCATTCACCATGCTGGGCTGGCAAGAGCTGATAGGACGCTCGTGGAAGACTTGTTTGCTGATGGGCACATTCAGGTGAGGAGAGGGTGATAAAGGAAGAGTGTGAGGAGCAAGAATCTGAGGACCTGCTGCCGTATGGGTTTGCCATTCACCATGCTGGGCTGGCCCGGGCGGACAGGACGCTGGTTGAGGACTTTTTTCCTGATGGGCACATTCAGGTGAGGCCTTGATTGGGTGTATGAAGCACACGTGATGGGGCGAGGGGAGTGAGGGGAAGAGAGAGGGGGCAAGAGTGGGGAAGGGAGAGGAAGAGAGAGGAAGGAAGAGGGTGAGAGGGGAGATTCTGGCGAGTGAGGCGGAGAGTGTGATGAGCGGCGAGTTGAGGGATCTGCTGCCGTATGGGTTTGCCATTCACCATGCTGGGCTGGCAAGAGCTGAGGAGAGTGTGAAGAGTAGCGAGCTGAGGGACCTGCTGCCTTCGAGATGCCATATTCAAGGTTTCCCGTTTCCCAAATACCCCGCTGAAGTCCCTCCTCCTCTCCATGTTTTCCCCGGCTCCGCTTGTGCTGCAGGTGCTTGTGTCAACTGCTACGCTTGCATGGGGTGTCAACCTGCCGGCCCACACGGTCATTATCAAGGGCACTCAGGTATGGCAACGTGAGGGGAAAGGCTGGTCAGACTTGTTCACCAGAGAGCAGCGGTGCTTGGCAGTGGTGCTTGTGTCAACTGCTACTCTCGCATGGGGTGTCAACCTGCCGGCTCACACGGTCATTTTCAAGGGCACGCCGGTATGGTCTGGGGGGGAGTGTGGCTGTTCAGACTTAGTCACACCAGAGAGCAGCGGTGCTTGTGTCAACTGCTACTCTCGCATGGGGTGTCAACCTGCTGGCCCACACGGTCATTTTCAAGGGCACACAGGTACGTTATGGGTGGAAACATGTGCGGTTTCAATCGCTAGACGTGGTCAGGCTGATTCGCTAGGGAGCTCGCTCGCTTCATGAGGTGTGGTTCGAGGTGCCTCAGAACACACCTCAATGCACGTGTGCGGTTTCAATCGCCAGACGTGGTGAGGCTCATTCGCTAGAGAGCTCGCTCGCTTCATGCACCCTTCTCTAGCCGTGCATGTGCTTACTGCTACCACTCTGGTTTTTCCTTGTTCTTATCCTCCCCTCTTCAGCTTTTGAGGCGCCTCAAAACCCTTCTCTAGCCGTGCATGTGCTCACTGCTACCACTCTGGTTTTGCTCCCTTTACCCTCTCTTTTTCCTTGTTCTTTTTTTCCTCTCTTCAGGTGTACAACCCAGAGAAGGGAGCATGGACGGAGCTCTCCCCCTTGGACGTCATGCAGATGCTGGGGCGAGCAGGGCGCCCGCAGTACGACACGTACGGGGAGGGTGTGATTATAACGGGGCATGGCGAGCTGCAGTTCTACCTCTCGCTGCTGAACCAGCAGCTCCCCATAGAGTCACAGCTGCTGTCCCGCCTGGCGGATAGCTTGAATGCTGAAGCGGTGCTGGGGACGGTGCACAACGCAAGAGAGGCGTGCAGGTGAGGGGGACAAACAGAAGGTAAAGGTTCTGGTGGGTGTATAGGGTTTACTGGTCCGGGGATGGCCGTAGTTCTACCTCTCGCTGCTGAACCAGCAGCTCCCCATAGAGTCACAGCTGCTGTCCCGCCTGGCAGATAGCTTGAATGCGGAGGCACAATGCACGGGAGGCTTGCAGGTGAGGAGAGCAACACAAGTTGAAGATTTAGGTCGGGTTCATGGGATACTGAGATTCGGATCTCCTGGGTACAGGGTTTACCAGGCTGGGGGGGCGAGCTGCAGTTCTACCTCTCGCTGCTGAACCAGCAGCTCCCCATAGAGTCACAGCTGCTGTCCCGCCTGCCTGGCGGATAGCCTGAACGCGGAGGCGGTGCGGTGCTGGGGACAGTGCACAATGCACGAGAGGCGTGCAGGTGAGAGTGGGCATGAGGGTTCGGGATCTAGGGTTTACTGGTCTGGGGATGGGCGCAGTTTTATCTGCCGGCTGCTGAACCAGCAGCTCCCCATAGAGTCACAGCTGCTTCCCCGCCTGGCGGACAGCCTGAACGCGGAAGCTGTGTTGGGGACAGTGCACAACGCACGGGAGGCATGCAGGTGAGGTCGAGGTCGGGCTCAAGGGTTGGGGTTTTTTGTTGAAAAGCTAGAAGAGATACATTGAATAATGAGCCAAGAGGCCCTTTAGTACAAACAATGAGCAAGAGAGAGATGAAAGGGAAGCTTACCCTATTGGCCAATAAGTTGGCCAATGGGTGAGCTTGCTTGTGACCCAAGCAACCACAAATGTGTGTTGGTTGGGATTGGTTGAGCTAGGGACCAATCCCAACCAACCACAAAATGTGGTTGGAGGGTACACTAAAACCCCCCCAATTTATAAGTGTACTACAGATCTAATTCTAGCCTATGTATGTTGTATGAATTGTGAAATTACAACATTTTTCTGGGTTGGGGTGCTGAACCAGCAGCTCCCCATAGAGTCACAGCTGCTCTCCCGCCTGGCGGATAGCTTGAACGTGGAAGCGGTGCTGGGGACAGTGCACAATGCACGGGAGGCATGCAGGTGAGAGTGGGCATGGGGGTTCGGGGTTCAGGGTTTACTGGTCCGGGGATGGCCGAACCAGCAGCTCCCCATAGAGTCACAGCTGCTGTCCCGCCTGGCTGACAGCCTGAACGCGGGTGCGGTGCTGGGCACAGTGCACCACGCACGGGAGGCGTGCAGGTGAGGGAGACAGCAGAAGCTAAAGGTTCTGTTGGGGTCTTAGGGTTTACTGGTTGATTGAGCTCCAGTTTTATCTCTCGCTGCTGAACCAGTAGCTTCCCCGTAGCGTTGCAGCTGCTGCCCCCCCTGGATGATAGCCTGAGCGCGGAGGCGGTGCTGTCAACAGTGCACAACGCGAGGGAGGCGTGCATGAGTTGAAGGTTCAGGTTTGGTTCAAAGTTGGGGGTTTAGGGTTCACCATATTGGAGGTAAGCTTCGGTTCTACCTGTTGCTGCCTGAACCTGAGAGGGCAGAGGAGGTCGTAACACGTGAAGCCCAACGCGAGGAGGTCATGGTGGGGTGGGAATTTGAGAAGAGCAGAGGAGGTCCGACGACCTACATGCTACTACCTCCTCTGCTCTCTCAGGTTCCCGCCCCACCACAGCCTCCTCGCGCTGGGCTTCATGTGCTAGGGCCTCCTCTTCAGTTCCACTTGAACCAGCAACTCCCATAGAGTCGCAGCTGCTGTCCCGCCTGGCTGACAGCCTGAACGCGGAGGCGGTGCTTGGGACGGTGCACAACGCACTGGAGGCATGCAGGTGAGGCCTGGCAGGATGGCTTGGGGTTTAGGGTTTTCTGGTCTGGGAATGGCCGCAGTTTATCTGTCAGCTGCTGACTCAATAGCTTCCCCATAGAGTCACAGATCCTCTCTCGCCTGGCGGATAGCTGGAATGCGGAGGCGGTGCTTGGGACAGTGCACAACGCACGGGAGGCATGCAGGTGAGGAGGGGCGGGGACATCCGCATGCTGCGCAACCCGCCTCTGGTCTGAGCATACCCGGCTCTCCCTTCTGCCCCTTTTCCCCTTTTTCCCCTCCTCCTCTCCTTTCATTTTCAGGTGGCTGGGCTACGCCTACCTGTACGTTCGCATGCTGCGCAACCCCCCTCTGTACGGCATCTCATATGTATGCGCACTTTCCCCGCGTGACCCGTCTCTCCCCCATCTCTCCGCCCCTTTTTCCCTAATCGCAGGTGGCTGGGCTCGTACCTGTACATCCGCATGCTGCGCAACCCCACTCTGTACGGCATCTCGGCAGAGGAGGCTGAGAGGGATCCTGTGTTGGAAGAGAGGCGGGCGGACCTGGTGAGTGACAGTGGTGGTGGTGGTGGGTTATTAGTGGTTGTGCCTATAGCGAAAGCAGTAGTGAAAGGGGTTCCAATTCTAATCTGTAAGGCATATTGGCAGAGGAGGCTGAGGGGTACCCTGTGCTGCAAGAGAGGCGGGGGGCGGACCTCGTGACTAGCAGTCTGTGGTGCTAGTGATGGTAGTGAAAGTGCCAGTAGTAGTGAAAGAGGTGCCTGGGCAATCCTCCTCTGTACAGCATCTCAGCAGTGGAGGCTGAGAGGGACCCCTCTCTGTATCGCAATTCTCCCTCCCGCCCTCCTTCCGCGTATCTTCTTTCGCCCATACCAGATCCACTCGGCAGCAATGCAGCTGGACCGCAACAACCTCATGAAGTACGACCGCGGCAACAGCTTCTCCGTCCCTCCCTCCCCTCACTTATTGTCTCTGCAACCCTCCACACGCCCCCCCCACCTTCTCTTACCTGCTGTTCCCCTAACCTTCCGCCCACCCTTCCCTACTCCCACTCGCACCAGATCTACTCATCAGCGGTGCAGCTGGACTACTTTTGAGACGTCTCAAAAACCCTTCCCTACTCCCACTCGCACCAGATCTACTCATCAGCGGTGCAGCTGGACTACTTTTGAGACGTCTCAAAAACCCTTCCCTACTCCCACTCGCACCAGATCTACTCATCAGCGGTGCAGCTGGACTACTTTTGAGACGTCTCAAAAACCCTTCCCTACTCCCACTCGCACCAGATCTACTCATCAGCGGTGCAGCTGGACTACTTTTGAGACGTCTCAAAAACCCTTCCCTACTCCCACTCGCACCAGATCGCAACCTCGTGAAGTCCCTCCTATGTGTTGCCTCCCTTTCCTCCCTTTCCTGTCTTATTGACCCCCGTCACCCCACTCTGCCTTTCCCTACCTCCACTCACACACCAGATCCACTCGGCAGCGGTGCAGCTGGACCGCAACAACCTCATGAAGTACGACCGCAAGTCGGGCGTTTTCCAGGTGAGTCCTGCTGCTTCCTCAGTTGTTTTCTCAGGTGAATTGGCTGAAACGTCATCCCTATGACCTATGATACTGAACGGGATTTTTTCAGGTGAACCTGGCTTCTCATCCAGATGCTTTATCAGGTGTTTGCTGTAATTGTCCCTGCACGCCATCTGTCACCGCACGCACCTCACTGTTCTAAACCCACAACTCCGAACACCCAGGTGACAAATCTGGGCCGCATCGCCTCCTTCTACTATATATCCCACGGCACGGCACCATAGTGACGTACAACGAGCACTTGGGGGGCATGTTTCATTCGCCTCATCCTCTCCCCGCTCCCCACTTCTCCCCTTCCCCGGTGCAGGTGACCGATCTGGGGCGCATCACCTCCTCCTACTACATTTCGCACGGCACCATCGCGACGTGCAACGAGCACTAGAGGGACACTCACACACACCCCTCTCCCCACTCCCTTTCCCCCTTTCCTCCCTCTGGTTTCTCCCCCCACCGCAGGTGACCGATCTGGGCCGCATCGCTTCCTTTTACTATATATCTCATGGCACAATAGCCACGTACAACGAGCACTTAAAGCCCACGATGGGCGACATCGACCTGTGCCGCCTCTTCTCCCTCTCCGAGGAGTTCAAGTACGTGGGCGTGCGCGAGGAGGAGAAGCTGGAGCTCGCCAAGCTGCTGGAGCGAGTGCCTATTCCTGTGAAGGAGGGGATAGAGGAGCCCAGCGCCAAGATCAACGTGCTGCTGCAGGTGGGGTGCTTTTGGGATTCGGGTTTAGGGTTTGGGGGTTGGGGTTCTCCGCTCTCCCTTCTCTCTCCCCTCTCTCTCCTCGCTGTCTTCTCTCAAAATCCCCTTCTCCTCGGGGGGTGCAAGCATCAAGTACGTGGGCGTGCGCGAGGAGGAGAAGCTGGAGCGAGTGCCCATCGCCGTCAAGGAGGGGATAGAGGAGCCAAGTGCCAAGATCAACGTTCTGCTGCAGGTGAGCTGCTTGGGGGTTCGGGGTTTTAGCAGGGTTTGGGGATCTTCCCTCCCTCTTCTCTCTCTTCTGCTGGAGCGAGTGCCCATCCCCGTGAAGGAGGGCATTGAGGAGCCCAGCGCCAAGATCAATGTGTTGCTGCAGGTGGGCGGAGTTGGGGAGGTTTAGGGTTTGGAGTTCTTCTCTCCTCTCTCCTCTCCCCCATGTCTCTGCTGCTGAAGCGAGTGCCCATCCCCGTGAAGGAGGGGATAGAGGAGCCCAGCGCCAAGATCAACGTGCTGCTGCAGGTGGGGTGCTTGGTCTTTTTGTTTGAAGTTTTGGGGGTTGTAGTTCCGCGTCCTTCTCGCTCTCGTTCCTCTCTTTCTCGCCCCTCACACTTACCTCTCTCTCCCTTCTCTCCCCCCTCTCTCGCCTGTCTCTCGTCACTCAGCTCACTTCAAGTCCCTTGCCTCTTCTGCTTGTCTCTGTCTACCCTGGCCCCTCCTCCTCCCCCTGCCCGTCCGTTTTGCCTGGCCCCTCTCCCCCCTTCCAGGCGTACATCAGTCATTTGCAGCGGGACGGGCTATCTCTTGTCTCCCTTCGCTTGCAGACGCGTCCCTGAAATTGCCTCGTCTGCCCGCCATCCCCCTCCTCCCCTCCCCTCCTCCCTCCCCTCCTCCCCTCCCCTCCTCCCCTCCAGGCATACATCAGCCAGCTCCAGCTGGACGGCCTCTCTCTTGTCTCCGAAACGAAATGGTCTATGTCACGCAGGACCCTATTGTGGATTGACTCAGCTCAGCTCACGCCCTCTTCTGCCTGTCTCTGTCTCCTCCCCTGCCCGTCTTCCCTCCAGGCGTACATACAGCCAGCTTCAGCTGGACGGGCTTTCTCTCGTCTCTGACATGGTCTACGTCACTCAGATGCCTATCTTGGAACAGACTCACTTCAATTCCCTTTCCTTCTGTCTCTGCCCCGCCTGCCCCTTTTCCCTCCTCCCCCCCCCCCCCCACCCACTTCCAGGCGTACACCAGCCAGTTGCAGCTGGACGGGCTCTCTCTCGTCTCTGACATGGTCTACGTCACTCAGATGGCCTATCTTGGATTCGACTCACTTCAAATTCCTTTCCTCTTCTGTCTCTGCCTGGCCTGCCCCCTTCCCCCCCCTTTTTTCCTCCCCCCTGCAGGCATACATCAGCCAGTTGCAGCTGGTCGGGCTCTCTCTCGTCTCCCTCCTCATCATTTAGACGACTCACTTACATCCCCTCGTCTGCGCTATCCTCTGTCCCTCCCATCCCCCCCTTCCCTTCTTTCCCCCCTTCTTCCTCCTCCCTGCAGGCGTACATCAGCCAGTTGCAGCTGGACGGGCTCTCTCGTCTCCGACATGGTCTATGTCACTCAGGCACACTATTTTGGAACCGGCTCACTTCAAATTCCCCTTTTCCTCTTCTGCCTGTCTCTGCCTTCGCCCCTTCTCCTCGCCAGGCATACATCAGTCAGCTGCAGCTGGACGGGCTCTCCCTCGTTTCCTTTTGCCTGCAGATGACGTATTCAAAATGCCTTGTCTGCCACTCCCCTTCCCCGCACCCTCCACTCTACACCCCCCCTCGCCAGGCATACATCAGTCAGCTTCAGCTGGACGGGCTTTCCCTCGTCTCTGACATGGTCTACGTCACTCAGGTGCGCTGTGATGCAATGAACGCTTAGCTAAGCATGTTTTCTTTCAGGTAAGCATCTCCCGATTGCTCTTTGAAGTCCATTCGGAACACTCTGGTGAGCAGTGGTAGTCAGTCTGATTGTCTAGTTAGCTAATGGTCTCCTTATGCGCGCTCTAATCAAGACTGCACTCATTAGGGGTTGGGCGCGGCTGGCAGAACGAGCACTCAACCTCTGCAAGATGATGTCTCACTCGCCTTCCCCTCCTCCCTGCTCTTCCCCCGCATACCCCTCCCTCCCATCCGCACCCGCTCTGTACCTTTTTCCCTACTCTTTCCAGTCCGCCGGTCGCCTTATGAGAGCATTGTTCGAAATCTTTCTCAGGAGTGGGTGGGCGCGGCTGGCAGAGCGGGCACTCAACCCCTGCAAGATGGTGTCTCACATTCCCCCACCTCCCTCTGTCTCCCCTTCTCACCCCTCCCCTCCCAACCACCCCTTCCTTTCCCTTTTCTCCTCCTTCCAGTCCGCCGGTCGTCTCATGCGGGCGCTATTCGAGATCGTTCTCCGAAGGGGGTGGGCGCGCCTGGCAGAGCGAGCACTGAACCTCTGCAAGATGGTGTCTCGCCGCATGTGGGCAGCACAGTCCCCTCTGAGGCAGACTCATACTGTTTCTCCCCCCTCCCTTCCCTTCCATGTACCCCTACAGTCTGCCGGTCGGCTTATGAGAGCATTGTTTGAGATCGTTCTCAGGAGGGGGTGGGCACGCCTAGCAGAGAGGGCACTGAACCTCTGCAAGATGGTGTCTCGCCGCATGTGGGCAGCGCAGTCGCCTCTGAGGCAGTTCAAGGGGGTGCCTCTTGAGATCATCGCAAAGCTCGAAAGGAAGGACCTCGTGTGGGAGCGATACTACGACCTCTCGTCCCAGGTGGGAAGGGATTGGGATGCGGTGAAGTGAGGTGGGAAGCGGTGGGATGGTGTGGGATGGGGTGGGGTGGGGTGGGGTGGGCAGCGCAGTCCCCTCTGAGGCAGTTCAAGGGAGTGCCGCTTGAGATCATCGCAAAGCTTCAGAGGAAGGACCTGGTGTGGGAGCGATACTACGACCTTTCATCCCAGGTGGGAAGGGGTGGGATTTGGTGGGTTTGCGATGGGGTGGGGTGCGGTACGGTTGCTTTATCTTGGAAAAGCACAAGTGTGCTATCCGCTCTCCACTCCCCTCATACCTCTTCAAATAGTTGCCAAATTGGAGCGGAAGGACCTGGTGTGGGAGCGATACTATGACCTCTCGTCACAGGTGGGAAGGCGTGGGAAGCGGTGGGATGGGCCTGGGTTGGTGTAGGGTGTGGTGGGTGGGAGTGGGGTGGGGTGGAGTGATACTACTTACAATCTCTTCTCCCAGGGTGTTGGATGGTTACCGTACTAAGGGGTTACACTTCTCTATTTTGCTTTTAAGAAATTCCAAACGACTTCTCTTGAACATTCTCAAGAGTGATAAATCTCTCTTCACTCTTTTCACCTCTTCTGGTCTTCTTCAACCTTTCCTCTGCAGCTCTTTGTCGTCTTGCTTTCCTCTTCTTTGCTCTCCCACTTCCCTCCCCTCCTCCGCTTCCCTTCTCTTCTCCTGCTGCTTGATTTCGGATGCCGAAGCAACACTTAAATGCTCTTCTCTCGTGTTTCTTACTGAGAGGTCCTCACACATGTGTTCAGTTCTCTCTGTTGAGGTCCTCACCTTTTTCCGCCTCGCACCTCTCCCCTCTGCTCTCCTCTCGTCTCCTCTCATTCTCTCTCTCGCAGGAGCTGGGGGAGCTGGTTCGCATGCCAAAGCTCGGCAAGACGCTGCACAAGTTGGTGCACCAGGTGAGACTGGCTGCCTGGTAGTGAATAGTCTTATAGCGAGTACATGAGTGTTTTGTTATGGGGTGCAAGTACATTTCACAAGCTGGTGCACCACGTGAGTGGCTGCTGGGAGTGCAGACAGTTATAGCGAGTATGGATGGGATTGTATGGTTTGATAGGTGTGTTGAGCAACCTGGTGTATAGTTGAGAATAGTGAAGGCTATTACAATGAAGGCTGCTGCTGTAGTGAGTACAAAAACGGTTGTACGAGTGTCGACCTCGCCCCAGCACCCTGCTGCCGCTTTCTCCTCTCTCCTCTCAACATGACGCTGGACTTCGACTCTCTCCCATCCTCTCCTTTGCGTGCTCTCTTCCCCCCTTTCTCCCTGAATCTTCCCTCACTGCTCCAGTTCCCTCGCCTAGAACTAGCACCCCAAGTCCTCCCCATAACCCGCTCGGTGCGCCGCATCGAACTCACCATAACGCCCGACTTCCAGTGGGAGGAGAAGCTGCACGGCTTCGTCGAGCCCTTCTGGGTGATTGTGGAGGACCCTCACTGCCTCACTCACTCACTCCTCGTTCCTTATTTCCCCGCACTTCTCCCTCTCTCCTGAAATGACGCTACAAGGCTGGAGTGGCTTCCGAACTCGTATATGTACTCTTGAGGCGATCTTTCCCATACGAGTTCGTGTTCTTCACACGAGAACAGCTCGAGCAAGCAGCTGCAGTAGATGTGGATCAGGTTGGTTCTAGCTCCAACCTGGTCCACATTTTCTTCAGCTGCTTTCTCGAACTATTCTCGTGTGATGAACACGAACTCGTATGGGAATGACCGCCTCAAGAATACATGTGCGGGTTCGGAAGCCTCGATCTCACTATAACGCCCGACTTCCAGTGGGAGGAGAAGCTGCACGACTTTGTCGAGCCCTTCTGGGTGTGGACGAGAGAAGAGGACCACACTGCCCCACTCTCACTGCTTCTTCCTTGTTTCCCCGCTCCCCCCCTCCCCCTTGCCTCCCGCCTATCTTTGTCCTTGAATCCCCTGCCCATTGCCCATTTCCCTCGCCTGGAGCTGGCGGCCCAGGTCCTCCCCATAACGCGCTCCGTGCTGCGCGTGGATCTCACCATAACTCCCGACTTCCAGTCTCGCCCTTCCTCTCTGTGTTCCCTCTCCCCCTCCCGTTCCCCAGTTCCCTCGCCTGGAGCTGGCAGCGCAGGTGCTTCCCATAACGCGCTCCGTACTGCGCGTGGATCTCACCATAACGCCCGACTTCCAGTGGGAGGAGAAGCTGCACGGCTTTGTGGAGCCCTTTTGGGTCATCGTGGAGGATCACGACGGAGACACCATTCTAGCTCTCTCGCACTCACCCCTCTCTCCCTGTTCCCCCTACCCTTCTCCCTCCCCTTCTGCCTCCCTCTTTTGCCCTTCTCTCTCTCCCCTTTCTCCCAATCCTTCCCCAGTTCCCTCGCCTGGAGCTGGCGGCCCAGGTCCTCCCCATAACCCGTTCAGTGCTGCGCGTGGATCTCACCATAACGCCCGACTTCCAGTGGGAGGAGAAGCTGCACGGCTTCGTCGAGCCCTTCTGGGTCATCGTGGAGGATCATGACGGAGACACCATTCTCCACCACGAGCTTTTCCTTCTCAAGATGCAGTACGCGCAGGAAGATCACTACCTCTCGTTCACCGTCCCGATCTTTGAGCCGCTGCCGCCGCAGTATTTCGTCAAGGTCGTTTCGGACCGTTGGATCGGCGCGCAGACCGTGCTGCCCGTGAGCTTCCGCCACCTGATTCTGCCCGAGAAATTCCCGCCGCCCACCGAGCTGCTCGACCTGCAGCCGCTGCCGGTTACCGCGTTACGGAACGCGGCGTTCGAGGCGCTGTACGCGGGGGAAGCAGCGGCAGGCCTGGTTTCCACCGACCCGTCCGGCGGCGCAGGTTCGGGGGCGGTTCGGCGGGGCATTTCGCATTTTAACCCCATTCAGACGCAGGTGTTTACGGTTTTATACAACACCGACGACAACGTTCTTCTCGCTGCGCCCACGGGCAGCGGGAAAACAATCTGTGCGGAATTCGCAATCCTTCGCATGCTGCAGGCGAAGGCCTCCGGCGGGGGCTCGGGCAGCCCGGACGAAATTTCGTACGGCGGGCGGTGTGTGTACGTGGCACCAGTGGAGGCGATTGTGAAGGAGAGGGCGAAGGAGTGGGGGGAGAGGTTCGGGAAAGTGCTGGGCGGAGGGGGGAAGGTGAAGGTGGGGGAGCTTACGGGGGAGAGTGGGACGGATCTGAAGCTTCTGGAGAAGTGCAATATCGTTGTCAGCACGCCGGAGCGATGGGACCAGCTGAGCCGACGCTGGAAGCAGAGGCGCGCTGTGCAGCAGGTATGGCATGGGGAGCAGTGAGGTGTGTGATCCCAGGGTAAGCGATGGGTGGGTGACAGACAGGTGGGTGTGCCTGGGGTGGCAGTGGCAGCACCGAGTGATGGGACCAGCTGAGCCGACAGTCTCAGCTGACCAGCTGGGACGGGCCGTGCAGCGGGTGAGGGGCTGGTGTAATTGGCCGGATCACCAGGTAGGTGCTGCTGGAGAGGAGCAACATCGTTGTGAGCACACCGGAGCGATGGGACCAGCTGAGCCGGCAGTGGAAGCAGAGACGCGCCGTGCAGCGGGTGAGGGGCTGGTGTGATTGGACACCACGTACGTTGGTGAGTGAGCGGTAGGTTGTTGCAGCACGTGTGGTTTGATAGGGACCGATAGACATGCGGTATATGAGCCCTCAGTTCCCTTCCCCCCCCACGATATCCTAGTGTTCCCGTGTGGGTGACTGGCCCTGCTCTCTCCCCGTAACGTTCCCGTCACTCACAGGTGGATCTCTTTATAGTGGACGAGCTGCATCTCATCGGCAGTCACAACGGCTCTATCCTCGAAGTCATCACCTCCCGCATGCGCTACATAAGCTCCCAATCCGCCGCAGCAGCACCCACCCATCCATGTTCTGGCGTTATCTGGCCCCTGTCTGTCCTCTCCCCGTACTTGTTCCCACAGGTGGACCTGTTCATTGTCGACGAGCTTCACCTCATAGGAGGCCACAACGGCTCCATCCTGGAGGTCATCACCTCGCGCATGCGCTACATAAGCTCCCAATCCGCCGCAGCAGCAGCGGCAGGGGGCGGGCTGGGGGCGTCCGGAGGGGCCAACAGCCAGCAGGCGGCAGGAGGGCACAGGATAAGAATAGTCGCGCTGGCGGCGTCGCTGGCGAATGCGCGGGATCTGGGCGAGTGGGTGGGGGCGAGCTCGCACGGGCTCTTCAACTTCTCCCCCGCCGTGCGGCCAGTTCCTTTGGAAATCCACATTCAAGGCTTCGATGTCTCCAACTTCGATGCGCGCATGCAGGTCGGTGTGGGTGTGGATGGGGATGGATGGGATGGATGCTGGTGAGGGGTTGCTTGCTGTGCGCCCCGTGCCAATGGAGATTCACGTCCAGGGGTTTGACGTCTCCAACTTCGAAACGCGCATGCAGGTGGAATTGTGGATGGGGATGGGCGTGGATGGGCATGGGTGGGCGGCTGCGGGAGTGTGTGGGTGGGTGGGAGTGTGTGAAACTACTAAGGTGCATGCAATGTGGTGCTTGCATGTGCGGTGGGTCCCCCTGGAAATTCATATTCTGGGTGGGCTTTAATGTGTCAAACTTTGATGGATAGGTGGGCGTCTGTGGAAGGTGTGAGTGGGTGGTAGAATGTGGATATGCGCAGTGTTTGTGTGTGCGCCTGATGCCCCTGGAGATTCACATTCAGAGCTTTGATGTCTCCCCCACATCCTCCGCCTGCCTCCCCCTCCCCCCAGGCCATGACCAAGCCAGCCTACACGGCCATAATGAACCACACTGCTCGCTCCAGCAAGGGGTAGGTGCCGTGCTGCCCCACTCTCCCACCCCCTTCCCAACCCGCTTGCATCCCTTTCCCTCCCCTCCCAACCCCCCCCCCCTCCCTCCCTCCCCACCAGGCCATGACCAAGCCAGCCTACACGGCCATAATGAACCACACCGCTCGCTCCAGCAAGCCCGCGCTCGTCTTCGTCCCCACCCGCAAGCACGCGCGCCTCACCGCTCTCGACCTCTGCGCCTACGCTGCCGGGGACGCCGGCGCCACTCTCGCAGCCACAGGGACCTCTGATGGGGCCTCGTCTGCGGCTATAGCGGCAGCGTCGCCGTTTCTGCATTGCGGGGAGGGGGACTTGGCGCCGTTTCTGGCGCGCGTGAAGGACGAGGGGCTGCGGCACGGGCTGACGTTTGGAGTGGCGTATCTGCACGAGGGGTTGAGTGCGGTGGAGCAGGAGGTGGTGCGGCAGCTGTTCACTGCTGGGGCTATCCAGGTGGGTAGTTTTTTTTCCTCTCCACTCCTCTCCACTCCTCTCCACTCCTCTACTCGCCTCTGCTGTTCCAAACCGTACCACACATGTATGAACTGCTCCAGAGGCTGGGTTGAGTGCGGTGGAGCAGGAGGTGGTGCGGCAGCTGTTCACCGCTGGGGCCATCCAGGTGGGTCCGCCTCTCTCTCCCTGCGCCTTGTTTTCTATATGATTCAGGTGGGTCTGATGGGAATTCTCCGCTGTGGATTTAGCGGCAGCACCCGTGGCCTGCCTGTGTCAAGCCTTGCTATCCCGTGGCCCCTGTCGCTTGCGTTCCTACCCCGTGCTATGTTCCCTGTGCTTTCTCCCAGGTCTGCGTGGCAGTGAGTTTCATGTCCCAGGTGCTTTCTCATCATGGGCACTCAGTACTACAACGCACACCTTGATTCATGTCCCATGCCTCATGCGCCCTGCACCTTCTGCGTGCGCCCTTCTTCTGCCATGTGCCCCTTGTCCTCACAGGTATGCGTCGCGTCGCTGTCAGCTCCCTGTGCTGGTCCATATTCCCAGCCAACCTGGTGGTTATCATGGGCACGCTGTACTGTGACGCCAGGTCTCATGTCCCGTGCCTCTCACTCATCTCCTCCATTCCTATTGTCTCTTTCCCATGCTGCCCCCAACAGGTCTGTGTGGCAGTCAGCTCCCTGTGCTGGTCAATCTTTCCAGCCAACCTGGTGGTCATCATGGGAACACAGTACTATGACGCCAGGGGAGGGGGAGGCGGGTCTGGGGGAGGTGCATCTGCCGTCGCGGGTGGCAGCGGGGGCGGCAGGGTGGACTATCCAGTGACTGATTTGCTGCAGATGATGGGGCGAGCCTCCAGGCCCGGTGAGTGGTGTGGTGCAGTGTGGTGTGTGGTGTATAGAGCTAGTAAGCTGTATTAAGCCTTGATGCAGCGGGGGCGGCAGGGTGGACTACCCAGTAACTGACCTGCTGCAGATGATGGGGCGAGCCTCCAGGCCTGGTGAGTGCGTGGTGCTGTGCGGTGCGGTGTGGTGTGGTGTATACAGCTAGTGAGATTCGGGAAAGGCCTGGGCAGCGGGGGTGACAGGGAGGACTATCCGGTGACTGATCTGCTGCAGATGATGGGGCGAGCCTCCAAACCTGGTGAGTGGTGTGGTGTGGTGTGGTGTGGTGTGGTGTGGTGTGGTGTGGTGTGGTGTGGTGTGTGTAGTGGCAGCATACAGCGGGGGTGGCAGGGTGGACTACCGAAAATGATGGGTCGAGCATCCTGCAACCGGGTGAGACTCAATCTAGCTAGACTCCCCACACTCTCCCTCCATCGCATGCCTCACTTTCTTATCAACGTCTCCTCTCTCCCCACTCCATCCCACCCCCCTCTTCTCTCTGATGCACCAATCCCCCTTTCTGCAGGCCTTGACGACGCGGGGCGCTGTGTGATCTTCTGCCACTCGGTCCGCAAGGAGTATTAAAACAAGTTCCTCCTCGAACCCCTCCCCGTGGAATCTCACCTCGACCAGCACCTGCACAACCCTCTCAACGGCCTCCCCTCTCCCCTTTTCCACCTTCTCCCCCTTGCTTGTGCAGGACTGGACGACGCGGGGCGCTGTGTCATCTTCTGCCACTCGGCCCGCAAGGAGTATTACAAGAAATTCCTGCTCGAGCCTCTAACCTCTCTCATGCAACTTCTCTCAATGCCCCTCTCTCTCTCTCTCTCCCACGTCTCTTTGTGCACAGGCCTTGACGACGCCGGTCGCTGTGTCATCTTCTGCCACTCGGCCCGCAAGGAGTATTACAAGAAATTCCTCCTCGAGCCTCTCCCAGTCGAGTCCCACCTCGACCAGCATCTGCACGACCCTCTCAACGCCGAAGTGGTCGTGCGAACCGTCGAGAACAAGCAGGATGCCGTTGACTACCTCACCTGGTCCTTCCTCTACCGCCGCCTCACCCAGAACCCCAACTACTACAACCTCACCGGCACCTCCCATCGCCACCTCAGCGACCACCTCTCCGAGCTAATCGAAACGACGCTCTCCGACCTCGAAGCTTCCAAGTGCGTCGCGATCGAAGACGACATGGACCTATCTCCTCTCAACCTCGGGATGATCGCGGCGTATTATTACATCTCCTACACCACCATTGAGGCGTTTTCGGGGTCGCTGGGGCCGAAGACAAGGCTGAAGGGGTTGATAGAGGTGGTGGCGAGTGCCAGGGAGTACGGCGAGCTGCCCATGCGGCCGGGCGAGGAGGAGCAGGTGCGCAAGATGCTGCACCACCAGCGGTTTGGAGTCGAGAAGCCGAACCTGTCAGACCCGCACCTTAAGGCCAACGTGCTTCTGCAGGTAAGGGTGGGGAATGGGTGGATGGGTGGGTGGTTGGTGATGGGTGGGTGGGTGGTTGGGTGGGCGGATGGTGACGAGTGGGAGGGAACTATTTTCTGTTTCAACTCTTCTACTCTCCCTACCCTATTCTCTGTTTCTTCCAAGCGTCTAATCTCACCCGTCCCCCCCTCCCCACCCACCAGGCCCATTTCGCCCGCCACGTTGTGACGGGCCCTTTGGCCCAGGACCAGCGCGCGGTGCTGATGGAAGCGTCCAGGCTGCTGCAGGCCATGGTGGATGTGCTCTCCAGCTCCGGCTGGCTCTCCCCTGCCCTTGCCGCCATGGAGCTCTCCCAGATGGTCACACAGGTGAGATGAGGCGGTGGGTGCCTGTGACCGGTGTAAGTGGGGGAAATATCTGCCTGCTGCAGGCCATGGTGGATGTGCTCTCCAGCTCCGGCTGGCTCTCCCCCGCCCTCGCCGCCATGGAGCTCTCCCAGATGGTCACGCAGGTGAGATGGGTGTTGAAGATTACAGGGTAAAAGGAATAGGCGGGCCTAGCAGCAGTGGTCAATACCCTTGAAATCGGCACCGAATCTAAAGAGATGCGGGATAATTTGAAGGTGTTTTGAGGAATGAAAGGGTCACATGGTGAGGGAGAATGGAAGAAGTTGCTAAGAGATTGTTAGGGGATATCCATATGAATGAGAATTTTAAGAATAGGGTGTACTGAGCTGACAATGTGTTGTAGAGGCTCGAGCTCCTGAAGGAAGTTTTGGCCCGCTACCAGGTCGATCCATGGACTCGTGAATGTTAGTGGGTTATTACCTTTTTCATGAGCTCGAGCCTCTGAGTCACATCGTAACCCAGCACGTCTTATTCTTATTGTTCTCACCAATATATATATTGTTCAATCATCTTTTAGCAGCTTTGCTGTTTTCCTTCACAACTCTGATCTCCTCATCCCTCAGAACACCTTTCACATTATCTCGCATCGTTTTTAATTCAGTGTCGACTTTAAAAGTGTTGGCCACTCGAGTGGTCCCAGCCCAAACCTCTGTTTGGCTTTTTCCAGCCCAGGTGCTGCAGTAAAAAAAACTTATATAGTCAGGGTCGTTTGAAGGATCATTTAACTTAACCGAACCTTTAACTTTCTTCCTTCTGGCGGAACACCACTCCTTTCCCGTATTGTGTTGTTGAGTCCTTTCTATGCGACTCCCCACTCTCGCCCCAACAACTCCCCCCCTCCACCAAATATCTTCCTTCTCTCACCATCCTCAGGGTCTATGGGAGAAGGATTCCCTCACCCTGCTTTTTCCCTGTCTTCGTCGCCTCGGCTTTTTCCTCCTGGTGGAATTATTTCGCTTTTTCTTCTCCTCCCTCAAACCGAATCTTCCCCCATTACCCTCTCCAGGGCCTATGGGAGAAGGATTCCCCACTGCTGCAGCTGCCGCACTCCACCAAGGAGCTAGCACAAAATAACGTTGTCCTGTGTGCCTCCCCATACTCCCCCCTTACCCTTTCCCAACACCACCCTGAATCTCCCCTGACCCCTCTCCCCTCTCCAGGGCCTGTGGGAGAAGGATTCCCCGCTGCTGCAGCTGCCGCACTTCACCAAGGAGCTAGCAGCCAAGTTCACAGCCAAGGGGATCGAATCCGTATCAGATCTCGTGGATATGGACGATGACGAGCGGGCCGCGGCGCTCGGCATGACTGAGGAGCAGCTGTCTGACGTGGCGCGCGTGTGCAACCGCTTCCCGTCCATCGATCTCAACTACGAGCTCATCAACGGCCAGGATGTGGCGGCAGGGGAGAACGTGGTGATGCAGGTAGGAAGGATCAATGAGTCAGGAATTGGGGAAGGGAAGTGGAAACAGGAAAGGGGGGTTGGGGGAGGAGGGGGGTTTGGGCTGGCGTGACAAATGTTTATGGTTATCTTATGTTTGCCCTTTCTAGCTCCCTTGGATTGCATCTTGTACAACTCCCAATACTTTCTACTTTTTTTGTGCTAACCCTTTTAGCCCACCTTTCATCCCTCCAGTGACCCTCGAGAGGGATATCAATCCTAGGCAGGAGCTAGGTCTGGCTTACTAGTCCACTCAACAATCGATGTGCGCACCTTTTGCGACCTCTTGCTCACCGCTTCCCGCCTCTTCCAACCTCTTCCCACCAGGTGACTCTCGAGAGGGACATCGAGCCTGGGCAGGAGCTAGGCCCGGTGGACGCGCCGCGCTTTCCCAAGCCTAAGGACGAGGGTTGGTGGCTCGTGGTCGGGGACCCGAAGACCAATCAGCTGCTGGCGATCAAGCGAACGGCGCTGCAGAGGAAGGCAAAGGTCAAGCTTGAGTTTGCGGCTCCGGGAGGAGAAGGGGAGAAGGGCGCTGGGGAGGGGAAGAAGGACCTGATGCTGTATTTCATGTGCGATTCGTACTTAGGGTGCGATCAGGAGTATGAGTTCAGCCTCAATGTGGAAGGGGGGATGATGGATGAGGAGGATTAGGGAGGAGGGTTGGGGAGGGGGGAGCGGATGGGGTGAGGCATGTTGTATGTGGAAGGGGGGATGATGGATGAGGAGGATTAGGGAGGAGGGTTGGGGAGGGGGGAGCGGATGGGGTGAGGCATGTTGTGTGATGCGAGGGGGGAGAAGTAGCTGCTGCTGTGGTTCATTTGTGAGTGTCCTTTTTTAGGCGCACGAGTTTGGTACATTCATCTACTGTTTCTTTTCACAACAGCCTTCAGTATTCCTGTTCTGAAACCGTAACTGAGGGCTTCGGCCCATGTTTTGTAACATGAACAGGTGAACATTTGTTAGACAACTGTACATGGGAAGGGATCTTGATGCCGGGTTCTATGGTACTTTTTTGTTCAGGAATGGTCTGATCTGATGTTCGATATGGTCAACCACGTACATCATGTCACCACGTTGGAAAGAAATGTATGTCTGCACCAAATGTATGGAATGAAACGTACTGGCACCAATCTAGGATACCGTATAATTCTGGCTGAAAGACCCGCCGGTAAAATGTCCCTGGGTCTCTCTATCAGGTTTATTTTGGCAAGGTTTGTGAGGACCCCGTTATGCCCTTAATCATTTTAGGACCCCCCTTTTCTGGACACTGTATTACCATAAGTGCTACTGCGCGTCAGATTTTACACGCGAAAACTCGAATTCTGACACGCTGTTTGTGTCAGACTCGAGTTCTGACACGCTGTTTGTGTCAGACTCGAATTCTGACACATATCTGACGCGCCGCTCGCACAAAATTTGCACTAGTACGGCTTTTTCCGTTACGAAAATAAGACCCCTTCGCCACGTATTGAGTCGTCGTACACCTTAGAGAATAGATTGATATTTAATAAATAAGCATACCTGCGACTTCAGAAATTCCTAACACCTAATTGTTCACCTATTTTTTTGTCTGTGTTGTGACGGATCCTACAGCTGGGAGAGAACGGGTATTAGGTGGAGCAATGCCATAATTGTAATTTAAAAAAAAAAAATGAAAACTGGTACCACGTCAAACAGTGGCTCTCAAACGGTAGAAAAACAAGACACTGCATCTTTTGCAGAACATGCCAACTTATCCTGATCATGTTGAAGGGTTTGAAGGATGAGAATCAAGGGTATTAAAAAACGTGTCACAAAGATAGCACTGATACAAGTGGCTTGTCCTCATCGTAGGGTAGAGTCAGAAGAGTTTAGACCTGTCCATAAAAAGGCAAGGAAATCAGGAAAGCCAGGGGGTATGGGGTGTTTGTGAGTGCAAGGTGAATCAACATTGCAAACAGGCAGCTGGCAACAATGCAGGAAAGAGAGGATTCAAACCAAATCAAGTCAAGATTTGCGCAGAAGAGATCGCGACCCATGATGTATCCTGTCACCTTTCCTGACCTGTCAGCAGCAGCTGACACATGAGCCAAACGCCCACTCACCTTTTCATTAATCATCTCACTCTTCTTCCTACCAGCCCTTCCGAGGTACGTGAGCTTATTTGTGGGAGGGCCAGCGCGCCTAATAACCATCTCTACTGCATGCAAACACTGAGTTGCTTCACCTTCACCTTCAGTCCCCTTCAGCCACTGCCCTTGCATGTGCTTCCGCCACTCACCTTGCCCCGAATGAAAAAATTCAAAAGGAACTCACTCAGTCATTGCTCTTCTCGCTCTTCTTCCCACCGGCCCTGCCGGGGCATGCGAGCTTGTGGGAGGGCCAGTGGGCCTTCTGGCACTCCCTGCCACAATACGCCACCCTGCCACACCCAGAGCAGCTCCTCAGCTTCACCCCACCGCCCTCCACCGCGCCACACCCCGCAGCACCGCACACACGCTTTTTAAAACCCCCGGGGCCTGCACTGCCTTGATGTGCATTCGTGTCAGCAGAACTTGGAGCAGGCGCAGCAGCAGCAGTGCTTACAGCAGCACGAGTGGCAGAGCAAGTGGCCGATGCGGAAGCAGCAGCAGAAGTGGCAGCAACAGCGGGCGCAGGGTGGTAGCATGGTTCTCCCAGCAGCATCTCTCGCAGACATGCCACCAGATTGACTCCCCCTGGCCATGGCCTCAAATAAGCCGGCACCTCCTCTTCGTCCTCCTTCTTCTTCCCCTTCCCCGCTTTGCTGTTCGTACCACCACTGCTGCTGCTGCTGCTGCTGCTGTTGGTGCTGCTGCTGCTGTAGAAGATGCTGCTGCTGGCAGGAGGAACCCCCTGGTCCCACTCCTCACGGAACCTTGAATCCAGCGCCCTGTTGCACAGCTCTGTCGCCACGTCCTCGCTGCACTTGCGTGGCGGCCCCCCGCTGCTGCTGCCGCTCCTGCAGTCGTCGATCAGATCGGTCATGGCATCCGTCCTCCACGCAATCAGCACTGCGAAACCCCAGTCCTTCACCTCCTCCCACACCTCCCCATCATCCTCCTCCTCCTCCTCCTCTCCTCTCCCTCCCCCACCAACCCCGTGCGTCTTTCTTCCTGCCTTCTTCCCTTCCTTCCCCCCCAGCAGCTCCCCCTTCCACTCGTCCCGGCCGACCATGCCAATCTCCTCCACCTGCAGCATCGCATTCGGCCAGTACAGTGCCACGGTCAGCAGAAAATGAATCGGCATCTCCTCCGCCCTCTCCCTCACCACGTGCGTCTGGAACGCCGCGCAAGTACCTCGAGGGAACGGCTCTAATAGCAGCAGGTCAACCAGCTTGGAGAATTCCGGGGAGCGCGGGGGGAAGACGGAGAGGAAGCGGTTGAGGAGGACGGTGGCGGGGTGGTAGGCGAAATTGGCGAGGAGGGTGAGGAAGGGGATGTGGTACGTGAACTGGTCTAGGCACGAGCGGCAGCGCGCGCACGCGGGGGGATAGACCTGATGCCCGGCAAACTCCACTAAGAAATGCGCGTCTGCTGCGCAGCGCACGATGGGCAGGGCTCTGTTTTGAGGGGGTGGTGGTGAAGCTCTGGCTGGGTGCGTTCCCCCTCCCCCTTTCCCGCCACTCCCCCTGTCACGTCCCGTGCCACGCCTCCCGCCACTCCCCCCATTGCTCGCCATGCCACTTCCCCTGTCACCCCCCTTGCTGCTTCCCTTGTTCACCTGATCTCCCACCCCCGCCTCTTCTACAATCCCCAGATGGAAGCAACGCACGCTCTGATCGTCAGGAAACTTCACAGCATCTTCCTCTCCCCGTGGCCACTCCTCCCACTCCGAATCAAAGTGCTTCCAAGGCAGAGGCTTGGGAATGGCACCGAGCCTCACCAGCACGCTCGGAAGGTCCCGAAGCGGGTGGCGCATGGGCAGAACTTTTCCCTGAGGCCTAGCCTTGAAGCACCTCCTAGCTGAGATGAAATCTGAGCCGTAGATTCGCACCCACTGCAGGATACAGCCGACCCGATACGCCATTGCTGAGACGATCGGGTTCGTGTTGACAGGGACGAGTGAAGGGATGCTGTTCGTGTTGACAGGGACGGGTGGGTCGGTGAGCAGCGGGTTTGTGTTGTTGACGACCGACGATGCAGCTGCTGCATCATCCATTGCACCTCCCACTCCCACCTCCACCTCCCTTCCCACCACCTTCTTCTCCCTGATAAGCCTCTCTCGTGCCTCCTCGATCGCTGCATCTTCTACATTCGACTTGCTCGCACTCTCAGCGTCCATACAGAACACCTCGCCCTGCTTGCGCTGCCCGCTCTCTGAAATCACACTGGCGAATGCAAGGGCGAATTCGGTGGCGCCCACACCGCTCAGATACATGCCCTTGGGAGCACCCCTGCTGTCCAAGCTGCTGCTGCTGCTGCTGCTGCTGCTGCCGCCCTCACTGCAGTGGCTGCACCTGAACTCCCTCCTTTCCCCCCCTCCCTTCTCCAGTATCGAAGCCATGCCTTCCACATACCTCTCCCACACAGGCCCTTTCAGGTGCTCCCTCCACTTAACATCCTTCCCAACCTTCTTCACAGCACTCTCACCACTCCTCCCTCCTCTCCCCGCAGCCTCACTCCCCTCCACCATGCACAATACCGTGCCACCCCCCTCCTCGTCCCCATCCGCCCCCATGACATGCCGCATCCTCGTAATCACATCAGCAGCAGTGGGCGCATCGCTCGCACCCATCATGCGCATCATGCCCATCATCTCCTCAAACATCTGCCATCCCTCAACCCTCGCCTGCTCCACAACCCCCCTCCCTGCCCCCGCCCCCGCCGCAGCCCCCGGCCCCGTCCCCCTGCTTTCCTCTCCCCCTCCCCACGCTCCCGCAACCCCCCAGACAGCAAATTCTCCACGAAAAACCCAAACCCCTCCTTCAGCTCACCAGCCTCCTTCACCCCAAGCACCTGCACCAGCAGGGAGGCTAGCTGGTCCTCCTTCTCCCGCCTCACTGCCCCCAGCTGACGCATTACCCCCGGGAACGTGGCAGAGTCTGAGTCCATATGGGCCTTCCATAGAGTCACAATGCGGGGCAGCCTCGCTACAATCACGAGGAACGTGGCAAAACTGACAGCACGGCGGTAGGCAGCCCAGCAGCTGCTGCAGCGGTAGCAGCAGGACCAGGCAACAGAGCGAGGAGGGGCGTGGGCTGAAACGGGAGCAGCAGGAGCAGCGACAGTAGCGACGGGAGCAGGGGATTCAACCCCTAGAATGGCCGGCAGGCGGGATCTGATCATCCCAAGGTCCATCAGCACACCCACACGAGGCTCAGCCATCCACTCCAGCACCATCGCCTCCGCACAAACCCCAGCCGCCCGCTCGCTCTTCCATTTGTACCGCTCTCGAGAGGACTGCACCCCTTGCCTCCCTCCCAGCGCCCCCTCCGGCAGAGGAACTCCTGAGGAGAACTTTTCAATCGCCCGCGCCTTCGCCTGCTGAGCTGCTGACGATGCCTGACGGGCTGATGGCGTGAGTGGTAACGCGAGAGATACGGATTCTTTCAGCTGCCGCCGGGAGTTCGAGCGCAAGTCCCTCAAGCTGTGGATCCCCAGGGCGAGCTTTGTCCGCCGGGAGACCACACGATCGAAGCACGGCTCGCAGGCGGCTAAATCCCAGCCGTTCCTCACGTCTAGGTAGTGAACCATGTCCGTTCGATCCAGCAGCTGGTCACCCTTCTCCTCCTGTGATACTTTCGAAGCACCTGCTGACTGATAAACTCCCTCCTCCTCTTCCTCTGGCCGTTTCCCTTCGCCCTTGGCCTTCCCTGGCTCGGCTGCTGCAGCTGATGATGATGACGCCTGTGGCTTGGGCGCTGTTTCCTCGTGCTCCTTGCTCCTTTTCTCCAAGGCTCTTTCCTCGTCCTTGCTGCTGCCTGCTGCGCTCGGTCGGAGCTTGCCTGGGCAACCGTCGCCACTAAGAGAGGAGGAGCAAAGGCCACCAGTGTGACCGATTGTCGAGGTGCCAGAAGCAACTGCCTCGGCCTTCGCCTTCCGTCCGCCACTCCTTCCAACAACCTCCCACTTCAGGTCCTGTCCCAACCTGTACTCCACCAATTCCTCCTCCTCCTCGTCCTTTTCCTTTTCCTCCTCCTCCTCATCCTCATTCTCCTGAAACTCCTCGTCCTCGTCGCTGCTGTCCTCTAGGTGGTCCCACTTGCTGTAGTCGATGCGCGTGCTGGTAGGCGCAGCAGGCGGCGCAGCAGGCGGCGCAGCAGACGGCGCAGCAGGCGGCGCAGCAGGCAGAGAAGCAGGTGCGGCAGCTGCAACAGCAGGTGCAGCAACAGGTGCTAAAGCAGGTGCGGCAGCAGGTGCAGCGGCAGGTGCAGCGGCAGGTGCAGAGGCAGTGGAAGGAAGACCACCACAGGCAGCAGTAAGAGGCATTACCGCTGCTGCAGGTGAAGCAGCATTCGCAGCAGCAGGCGCAGCAGCAGGCGCAGCATTCGTCCCGTCCTTACCTCCCACCTCGCCCTTATTTTCACCACCTTCATGCACGGTCTTCACGGGAAGCACCTTGATGGTCGAACCGGGTTTGAGCTTCGCGTGTTCTACAGTGGAGTCAGGCGAGAGGTACACCACTTGGCCTAGGACCATGAAACGGACCTGCTGCGACGGCTGCGACGAATGCGACGGCTGCGACGGCTGCGACTGCTGCGACTGCTGCGACTGCTGCGTTCCACCAGCCAAGTCCTTTCCGACCGCGTTCCCGCCATTCTCAGGACCCTGTTGCTCACGTGTCTGACCTGACAGGTAGCAATGTGGCAAATGTGACTGGAACAATCGGGAGAAGACTGCTCGGAGAGATTCATTTGGAGAGACGGCCACGTGGACGTCCACGTGGGATGATCCGGTGTGTTTATTTTCAAAATGGCTGTCGAGAGTTTGTGCATCGCTGCTATTGTCGTCGAATCTCCGTTGAACGAGATCGCTCGGAATCCTAAACCGAACCTCGAAGGCCATAGTGTCCGCACCCGCAGGCATAGCGAATATATTCGAATATGCTAGTCAGCCTTACTGTTTCAGCAGTCGCTAAGTCAATAACTTATCAGAATCGTGAAATAGCTCCATACCCGCTCCTCTTCTGCTGCTAACGATTGTCGTCCTTTCTACTACATGAAATCATCGTGCTCCCTGGTTATGTTTGACCGTTGGATAGCAATGGCCGTGAGTTGCGATGAGATGAGATTTGAAGGGGAACCTGCTGGTTCATGGTAGCACTCATCTCTGGGTCTCTCTGGATTCTATTTCTGGTTCATCGCAGATTCAAAAAGAGCCAGACGCGAACAAGCGAGGTCCGTTTCGCTGTAAGGGCGTGTCCAGCGCGTACGTTTACAGGTACTATACAGTTCATTCGTCGTGGTGAAAAAGGATATCAAGCAGTGCACAGCGGTTTTGAAATTGCACCGTTTTGAACCGTGACGCATTACAAATTACCGCACTGAATGAACTGTAATGTAAGGTACACAGTATTCCCTCTATAATCTGCTAGCAAGAGTCGTACAGATATAAATCACCTAGCAGCTCTCTTAGGAATGTAAGAAGCATTCCAAGGGCCACCATCCCTGGCATAGTGATCCATAGGGTACACTTTCTCCTTTCTATCCCCTTTACAAGCTCCACACTGCTTGCACCGTTCCAGCCGCTCCCCTTGCAACCCACTTCCATCCCCTGTAGCGCCACTCCCAGAACCACGCTCAATACAATCACCTTCGACCAAATCCCCTTGGACGTTAGAGTCACTGACACTGTCACAGAAGCAGCCACCCCACCAGGGGGGAGCAAACCCGAGCGCAACCTCTAGCTCATAGGGAGTGAGCATGGGGGCAGTGAAGGCCTCCCCCCAGTCTATTGACAGCCTCGGACATGCCACCTGCACCCATGCATCGATGCCTGTCTCTCTCCCACCTGTCGCTCTCCCAATCTCCTTGCCTGTGCTTGTTATGCTCTCCTCCTCCGTGCCCACTCTTTCAATTGACAGCTCACCGAGGGCCCTGTCCACGTCACCACCACCAGCTCCTGCCACGTCACCAGCACCAGCTCCTGCCACGTCACCAGCACCAGCTCCTGCCACGTCACCAGCACCAGCTCCTGCCACGTCACCAGCGGCTTCTGTTTCGCTCAACCCCATCAACCCACCAGACCCCACCCCTACTGCAGCTACTTTCTCCGGAGTCAGCTCCGAGACAAGAAACACCACCGGCGTGCCGCCCGCAGTGCGGATCCTCCTCACGCAGTGGTCTACAGTGCGCGGGTTACCCTGGTGCCCGAGTGTACCCTGCACAACGCCCCACCGCTTCCCCCGCACCCTGCTCGCCCGGGTCACCGCTAGTCGCCGCGCCGATCGCATGCCTGAATGATCGTAGCGTTCCCGAGTGAGGGAGCGGGCGTAGGGATCGTAACGGAATGCTGGGAGGGTGGGGTTTGCGATCATCATGGCTTCGAGGTGAAATCGGCCGTCAGATACAAACACAAGTGCATCTGGACTGGAACCAGACGCTTCTGCTCCGGCTACCCCTGCTCCTCCTGTTGCTGTTGCCTCTCCTGCTCCTGCCCCTGCTCCTGCTCCTCCTGCTTCTACTCCCGCCGCTGCTACCCCTGCTGCTGCTGCTGCTCCTGCACCCGTTTTTGCTGCTCCCTCGAACGAGGGAGAGAGTGAGGGAGCCGTGCATCCGAGCACCTCGCCCCCGGAGAGTGGTTTGGCCTGAGGCACTGAGATGCCTCTGAAATGGTCTGACAGGGCGGATTTGGCCGCGTGGACTGCTGCTGTGAACTGGATGGTGCCTGGGGGGTTGGAGGGCGGTGTACGGGAGAGAGGGAGAAGGGATACAGAATGGTTTGGCCTGAGGCATTGTGATGCCTCTTATGTGGCCTGATAGGGCTGATTTGGCCGCATGCACCGCTGCTGTGAACTGAATGGTGCCTGGGGGGAGTTGGTGGGGGGATGGGAGGGAGGGGGAAAGGAAGGGGGGGGTTAAAGGTTGAATGTTGGCCTGTGGAACGGTAACGAATCCGAAGTTTGAGGTTTAAGAAGCGACTGTTGTTTGTGCTTACACGAGCGAACTTCCTTGCGTCTCGCCTCGGCCGCCATAGATAGATAATCAAATCACACGACAAGAAGGGAGAAAAGAAAGAATGAAGGAAAGAACTCACCAGCGAGTACGAGGTGATCTGTTGGCGGAAAATTGAGCTTCAATGTGTCGATAAAATGGGGGACGTCGATGGTGATATCGACGAACACGTAGAGGCACGGGATGGCCGTATGATCCAACGGCACCAGGCAGCTGTGCCCGTAATGCACGAGAAAATCCGCGCCAAGAGCTGCTGCGGTAACGTCGTCGATGCAGCACGCGCCGTACGTCACGTCGCCTAGAATCACGCAGCTCTCCGCGCCGCCGAACCGCTCGATAATGTCACATAGGGTTGTTGCGAACATCTGGAGGCCCTCGGGAAGCTGCAGCGCGACGCAGCGCGCTTTCGCTTGTCGCACGCGCCAGACGGTTTTGGGAACCTCGAGGTTGTAATTGGGCGGCAGAACTGACATGGCGGCGAGCAGCGCGGGATCTTCCGAGATCTCCCTCGGGATCTGTGAGCGAACGTAGCGCTTCGGCGCGGGTTTCTTCGCTGACGCTGCTGGCGAAGCGCCAATCTTGTTAATAGCAGTGCCGCTACCTGCGGTGTTAATCGTGATGGCGTTAGAACCGTCCATTGTATGATCGTATGGTTGTGCACCCTTACCTCCGTGAAGACAAAGAGTCAACAACCAGCCAAGAGCTAGCAGAAATAAGCGAACTTGGATTTACATGTAGAGGTTGACGATAGGGCGATTTTCATCTCTCCCCACTCGTAGGTGCCCATGTTTGAGGCAAATAGCGCGTTGTAACGGACGAAATGATTTGGGTTCGCTGGCCGCCGTTCCTTCTCAAGTTACTCCGTAACTACTGTGGCAACGGCTTGGAGGACGTATCGATATGCCTTTTCTGACAGCGACGGAACTCGTTTCGTACGAAACGCATCCCGCTGATGGTGTTGATTCGAGTCAGTGTTGAACTTGGCAGATGAAATCCGACTAGACTTTACGCATTTGTGTTCTGAGCGGGGTCAGTTTCAAAGACTGGTGACTTGCGTGCGGTTTCCGCATCAACTCCACATTCTAAATGACACGGCGTTATCCAGAACACCTTCGCTGCTCTTTTGGCAGTGGTCAGAATCCCCCCGCCTCCACACGTGTCTCGCTCTCATCGAGGTACAGTAGGGCGTGTCCCGAAAGTTTGTAAGCAGTTTCGGGACCCAGTTTTACGTAAAACAACACGTACAGCTGCGCGGTTCACACACGTTCCAGGTACGTTCACATCACTGCGAACAGCGTCCGGATTCCAAAACGCTGACAGAGCCTCGAGGTTCTACAGTGCCGCGACTTGTACAGCCAAATCTCAGCCTGTTACCAGGTCCTCCTTGCCGCGAAACCCCTCCTCCCCCCCAAACAGATTCTCGGCCCTCTAGCCTTTGGACCAAATTGACCGTCGCAAAGGAATTTGCGACAGCAGGGCGAGTTCGCCCAAGGGAGATGCTTTGAACCTGGATCTCCTCGCTTTCTGTTCTCTCTGTTTCAGGTAACTTTCCTCTCGATGTCTGTACAGTACGCAGTCCAGTTTGAGCATCGCGTCAGTTATTTTTGTGCAGCCTGGTTTCGTGTCCAGACGAAAGAATTAGCGAGTGGCGAAAAGCAAATTTGTGGTTACTTTTCCTTTTTTGTTATGTAAATGTACTTTTGGGACACGCCCTTAGCATGTCGCCTCATCTACGTTTCGAACATACGTACGTAATGAACCAGCACGCGGTTCCGATGTTCAAAATTGATGATGTTCCCGCCAAGCGGATCCAAGTTCACTTGTAAAACAGAGTAGCTGTGACTGCTGTAAAGGCTGGAAACTTGGCTGGAAATGCTCGACAGAGCTGCTGGAGTTGGTTGGACAATGAAAACTTCACTATGATCAAGGTTGTACAAGCCCACTAAAGCACACCTTCTTAAACATCACAAACAAGGCAGTTAGGTAGCTCAAACTAGGTTGCTAGACAAGGCAACTTCCTTGGGAACTTGGTCACAATCCAGCTTCCATGAACCTTGAGTGACTTGAGAGCCACATGAGGTGCATGAATAAGAAATCTCTGGATTTTTCTGTTATAGCTGATTCTGATGTGTAGAAACCTGTAGAAACTCCCAACACTTCGGTTTGGAGGCAGCTCTGAACTGTATCGAGTCTTCGGCTGAAATCTGATTGGTTGGGAAACTTTCCGATATTTCGCGAAGCCTTCAATCCATCGCCGACATTCCCCCCTTGCTGCTCCTTGTGTGCAAAGGGCTGGGGCGGCAGAATCTCGATTCTCCAACAAGTTCTTCCTGCGTAGCTGCTGGATTCACTGGGGGACAAGGTGGGAATCGTCTGTATACGATAGCGCATGGTTTTGTACGTTTCACTACAAGAAGCCATGGCCGTCCAAATACCAGCAGCTAGTTGTACAGAGCTCAGCAGCTTCTTTCCATCCCTATTCAACCACAGCCATGGATTCCACTCTTGAGAGGCGTGCCGGAACCATGGCCGTCCACCTCAGCGAATGTAGCTTCGTTCCATCAGTTTCCAGTGGGAACCAGAAACTTTCCGCTTACGCAACCGCTTCTGGCTCTCGGTTTCCCCCTTCCAGAGCAGCCATGGATTTGGTTGATTGGCTGAGCTTGATTTCTGCATCCGGTTCTTCTCTGCTTCCTTACAACACCAGCAGGGTAGGTTTCCAATCCAAGATCCATGAATCCAACCGAGAAAAATTCTCCTGCTTTTTTGCTGCTAGATATCCTGCTCTGCAAGTATGCTTTTGTAGCGGTTGTCCATTGCATTTTGTTGTAGGTCGGGGGTTTATTCTGCTCTCGCACGTTGGGGGAAGGAGTACCCTTGTCTTCAGTTGCTTCAGTCGCATTGCTTCTCCTTAACAGCCAGCTCGAAGCTGTCGAAAACGAAAAAAATCCCTCGATCTTCGGCATTCGTTAACATTCCTATACTTTTACTCGGTTCTTGTTGATCGCTATGTCCGGAATTCTTGGTGTTTTAAACCTAGACACGAGCTCCTCCTGCCAGGCCGATTTTCAAGCGTCCACCGGAAAAGTTTCCGTAACCAATGATCTTCTTCCTCCTCTCCCTTCAATCGCCAGTAACATTGCATCTGCGGAAGTTTCATCCGATCTACATCGACCAATGTTATCTGTTTTTGCTGAGTCGAAAACGACCGCCCTTCGCGAGTCGACCCTGGTTGTTTTGCCGGCCGGCCGTCACTTGATATGCCACGTGAACCATGCTCTTTGCAAGAAGCCCGTCGGCAGTTGCAACAGGTCAGTCAGTGAAATCCGACCGTCCGACTGGCAAATGCGCGCATCAGTTTCGCCAAATTTGCTTAGGCGGGTTTCCTCTATGGCCATGCTCTGGCCGCTTCGACAGCGAGTAACGTTCCAATCTTGGACCGTCAGCTGACGTACCGCTCACCTACTTCCCTTCTTGATTTTCTCGCTCTGCCTTCTCCTTTTCTCATTTTTGTAGATGTTGCCCCTTTCTGGAACTCTTAAATGGACGATCTCTTGTTCCTTGCTGTTGAAGTTCGCCTTGTGGCAGCAGCAGCAGCAGCGGCACCTCGTGCGACTCCCTCTGCCTTGGCGAAATGGTGTGTGACTATCTCGAAAACGAGTGCGACGCCTGCGATCCGTGCGACGCCTGTGACGTTGCGTGCGACGTTGACGTCGCCTGCGACAACACTGCTAGTGATGACGACCGCGGGTGTTGTGGGACCTGGCAGACTTGGAAAGCGGCAGCAGGCGCAGCAGGAGCAGCAGCACCAGCAGCTGTTTTGCAGAGACAGGTTACAGAGTCTCGGGCGTTTGCAGCATCGAACAGCCTTGAACGACTCGCTTCATTGGTTGAGGTCAGTACGCGCTTGTAAGCTTGCGGTCTTTTGAGTCGACTTATAAGTCAGCTGGGGCTGCAGCTGGAGAAGCAGGAGCAGCAGCTGATGTGCCGAGACAGGTTTCAGAGTCTCTGTCGTTTGCAGCATCGAACAGCCTTGAACGACTCGCTTCATTGGTTGAGGTCAGTACGCGCTTGTAAGCTTGCGGTCTTTTGAGTCGACTTATAAGTCAGCTGGGGCTGCAGCTGGAGAAGCAGGAGCAGCAGCTGATGTGCCGAGACAGGTTTCAGAGTCTCTGTCGTTTGCAGCATCGAACAGCCTTGAACGACTCGCTTCATTGGTTGAGGTCAGTACGCGCTTGTAAGCTTGCGGTCTTTTGAGTCGACTTATAAGTCAGCTGGGGCTGCAGCTGGAGAAGCAGGAGCAGCAGCTGGTGTGCCGAGACAGGTTTCAGAGTCTCTGTCGTTTGCAGCATCAAACAGCCTTGAACGACTCGCTTCATTGGTTGAGGTCAGTACGCGCTTGTAAGCTTGCGGTCTTTTGAGTCGACTTATAAGTCAGCTGGGGCTGCAGCTGGAGAAGCAGGAGCAGCAGCTGATGTGCCGAGACAGGTTTCAGAGTCTCTGTCGTTTGCAGCATCGAACAGCCTTGAACGACTCGCTTCATTGGTTGAGGTCAGTACGCGCTTGTAAGCTTGCGGTCTTTTGAGTCGACTTATAAGTCAGCTGGGGCTGCAGCTGGAGAAGCAGGAGCAGCAGCTGGTGTGCCGAGACAGGTTTCAGAGTCTCTGTCGTTTGCAGCATCAAACAGCCTTGAACGACTCGCTTCATTGGTTGAGGTCAGTACGCTTCTAAGCTTGCGGTCTTTGCTTGCGATGTTTAGCTTATGGTTCTAAGCTTGATATAAGTGTTGAGATCGTCTCTGCTGTCATTAAGCACGCTTACACCACCAGACCTGTCTCTTTTTGCATCTGTTTGTTCATTCGTGTGCTTCTCTGTTTGTGCATCATCTCCCCCCTCCCTCCCCCCCCCCCCCCCATTCCTTCCAACCCCCCATTCCCTCCTACCCCTTCCCCTTCCCCCTTCCCCCTTCGCCCTGCCCCCTTCCCCCTTCCCCCTTCCCCCTTCCTCCTTCCCCCTTCCACGCTTTCCTCTAGCAGACCCTCAGCTGCTGTGAGGCGCCAGAGGAGTATGCAGTGCTTGAGATCGTCTCTGCTGCCATGAAGCATGCTTACGCCACCACACCTGTTGACATTAGCATACGCAGCACCGGCCACAGCAGCAGCATCAGTAACACTACCAGCAGCAGCACCAGCAGCAACAGCAGCAGCAGCAGCAGCATTCACAACGTGGTGGTGCAACAGCTGCAGGCGCGGGGGTACGATGCTGCAGTGTGCCATGCTCACTGGAAGTGCTTCAAAGGCTTTCGCCATGGTGAGGGAATCGCGCAGTGACCTTTGAGAAATCTAGAAAACAGTGGGAGGCTTCCGAGTCGATTTAAAAGTGTGCCACGCTCACTGGAAGTGCTTCAGACGCATCTCCCATGGTGGGTGGGAGACATTAGCTTTTGTATTTCTGCACCTCAGTAGTTGATCAATGCTCCTTTTCACTTCTCTCTGCCTCCTGTTTCTTCTTCCCCTCATTGCAGGTTGCCATGACTACTGTGACGTCATTCTTCAGCCATCCTCCCCCAACCGTCTGCCCACCCGTTTAATAATCGACCCCGATTTTCGGGCACAGTTTCAAATCGCCCATCGCACACCGCGCTACGATTACATCCTCCAGCTGACCCCACTTTTTTTTGTGGGCTGCCCGGATCGGCTGCACCAGCTGGTGAAAGTTTTGTGCGAGGCGGTGTGGCTGTCAATGCATGCACAGGGATTGCATGTACCACCGTGGCGCAGGCACCAATACGTGGCTGCCAAGTGGACTGCGGCTTACGCCCGCCGAGTGGCCGTCTCTGCAGAGCGCTTGGGAGATGGAATACCTCCTACTGCTGCTGCGGCTGCTGCTGCTGTTGGTGCTGGTGCAGCTGTTGCAACTCCTACTGAAGCTGCTGCTGCTGCTGCTGCTGCTGCTTCTGCTGCTTCTGCTGCTTCTGCTGCTTCTTCCGCTGCTTCTTCGTTCAGCTCCATTGCGCAAAATGCACCAGCGGCTCCCATGTCAGTCAACCCACCACTAATACCAGATCAAGAACCGTTCAGAACCCCTCGCCGAGCCACTTGTCTCCACCAGCACCGCAGGAGCGCCCTGCCAGGCAGAGGAGGAGGAAGAGGAGCAGAGGTGGTGGGTCTGCTGGCAAAAGGGATGCGGCAGCTTGCTTTACAAGGGGGAGCGGAGAAGCAGCAGCGGGTGGCGACGCTAACAACTCAAAATCCTGGCAATGCTAACAGCTCTTCAGCAACGTCTAGTGCATGTGAACGTGCTGCTGCTGGGTATGTGAGGATGCTATGACGACTGCAGCACTTCATGCAGCACACCTCCTCCTGCTTCAAGATGGAGTTGATATTGTTGGCGGCCTTGAATACCCAGCGACACAAGCAGGTGCAGCAATGCCAGCTGCTGCATGGGAGTACACTGGAAATGAAACCGTACCATGTTGACTGCATGGCAGACTCTGCTTGCTTTTGGTTCATGTGTCAGTAATGGCTGGGCACATACAGGCGGATGTGCATCTGCTGGCGGGAGGCTGTTTGAAGCATGATTGGCCCTCTGTACCTGCATGAGTCTTGAAGCCAAGGTTGGATGGATGGTGTTAGGCATGGTACTTGTGAGTATGCATGAGTGCTGTTGGTAGGTAATTTGTTTTTCTGGAGATAATTGGGGTGCTTTATTGCATGGTCAATGGGCTTGTGTTTAGTTAGCTTTGAGTCGTGCATAATTACACCGTAGAAATAAGATAGCTAGCAGCTACCGTATGAATAGCCCCAACATGTGCTAATACTGGTTCACTCTTTCGAAACGATATTTCCCACCGCACCTCGTAAAATGGCGTAGCACCGAAGTAAACTGCTCCAGATGACTTTGGTGTATGGGGTATATCAATTGCCAGCAGCAGCGCTTCGGACTAAAACAGCAACTGCTCGTTTATCCATCTAAGACGTGGCTGCCTTCATTCGTTCTCGTTTCTCGTACCTTAATAGCCGTCAGCGCGCGACTGTGCGTGTTTCTAGAGAGGCCTGCAACCTTCAGAGGGTATTCATAGGGTGGGCTAGCAATTAGGGCGTGCTATCAGGGTGGTCTAGCAATCAGAGAGTGCTACTAGGGTGTGCCGTTACAGAAGAGCTTCCAGAACAATGCAGTTTTAACGCAGCTAACTCTCTGGCACTCTTGTCCGGAGTTTCGTGCACGATAGGAGGGGAGTCTCAAGTTCTGAGCTGATTGGGTGGAGGAGACGTGTCTATATCGACCATCGACCTTTCCGGCGTCTCAGAACGGTGACTCGGTGGGAATTTCCGAATCTTGAGCTGATTGGGACCACGGGGAGGGTGTGATTCTATCGGTGATTCGAACGGTCAAGCCGCGAGCATGCCGAAGCGCACGACGCGGACGTACTCTAGCGAGGACGCGGAGCCACAGGGAGATAAGCAGGAGCTGATCGTGTATTACTGCAAGCAATGCGGCGCGCATGTGCTTATAACAGGCAGGTGTCTATAACAGGTATGATCTATAACGGGTAAGGTGTTACATTCAAGGAGCCTCAGGGAGATGCGCAGGAGCTGTTTAACTATGATAAAACCGCGCAGTATGCGCGTGCTTATACAGTGTATATGTCGGAGTATGTATGCCACCATAACCTAACCATTCAGCCTCAGTATAAGTGAAAAAAGCTGTAACGGCTATGCTAGCGTACTGTTGCAAACAGTGTGACGTGCACTTGCATACATAGTATGGTGCATGGCATGGCAGGCAGACAGTCACCTGTCGGAGCTGTTTTTGAATCGATATTTGAGATGTCTTTTGAGCAGACTCAAAAATGCCGTGTGCATGCACGCATGGGGTGTGGTCATGGCGTGGCAGGCAGACAGTCAGCTGGCAGAGCAACCTTTGAATTGACGTGTGACTCGCCTTTTGTGCCGACTAATAAACGCTGCGTGCATTCGTGTATGGGTGTGGGCATGGCATGGCAGGCAGACAGTCAGCTGGCAGCGCTGCCCCGGCGCAGGACGGATGGGGCGATGGTGATGGAGAAAGAGAAGCACCTCATGCGCCTTAATGTCATGGAGACCGGCAAGCAGCTGCTCAAGCGGTGAGCAGTGGTGGAGCTCGGTTGAGTGCGGTTGAGTGTGGTTGAGTGCGGTTGAGTACGGTTGAGAGCGGTGCCAGGCAGTGCTGCCGCTGCAAGACGGATGGGGCGATGAACAGAAGCACCTCACGCACCTTAATGTCATGGAGACCGGCAAACAGCTGCTCAAGCGGTGAGTCGCGGTGTTGCGGTTGAGTGCGTTTCAATGCGGTTGGCAGTGGTTGAGTGTGGTCGAGTGCGGTTGAGAGTGGTGGCAGGCAGATAGTCACCTGGCAGCGCTGCCCCACAGGACGGATTGGGCGATGGTGATGGAGAAAGAGAAGCACCTCATGTGCCTCAATGTCATGGAGACCGGCAAGCAGCTGCTCAAGCGGTGAGCAGTGGTGGAGTGCTGCGAAGTGTGGTTGAACGTAGTTGAATGTGGTTGAGTACGTTGAGTGCGGTTAAGAGTGGTGGCGAGTGGACGCTCAGCTGGCAGGGCTGCCATGGCGCACTACGGATGGGGCGATGGTGATGGAGAAAGCAAAGCACCTCATGCGCCTTAATTTCGTGGAGACTGGCAAGCTGCTGCTCAAGCAAAGAGTGAGTAGTGGTAGAATGTGGTTGATGGTGGCGTGGCCTTAACTCTCCACCCTCCTACCCTCGCCCCGCCCACCTCCCCTCTCACCCACCGCCTCCCTATAACGCCCCACCCCTCTCCGCTTGTACAGCAGCAAAGGCAAGGTGGAGAGGCAAAATCGCATGGGGTATGGGGAGTGTGATGTGATGGTGGCGTATCACAGCGAGGAGAGCAAGGAGAGCGATTGCTTAAACCCATCATCCCCTCTCTCCTCCTGCACTGTTCTCTCCCCATTCTCATTTCATATTTTCCCGTTGATACTGGGGCAAAGGCAAGGTGGAGAGGCAGTATCGCATGGGGTATGGGGAGTGTGGGTTGATGGTGACATGCCCCCACCCACCTTCCCCTGTCCCCCCTCCCCCTCATCTTCCCCCCTGCCTCCCTACTTTGTCAGAGGCGAGGGCAAGGTGGAGAGGCAGTATCGCATGGGGTGTGGGGAGTGCGGAGCGATGGTGGCGTGGCCTTAACCCCCTCACGCCAACCCCCCCCCCCCCCCCCCCCCCCCCCCCACCATCGCCCACCTCCCCCCTTGTACAGCGGAAAGGGCAAAGTGGAGAGGCAGTATCGCATGGGGTGTGGGGAGTGCGGGGTGATGGTGACATGCCCTTCCCTTGTCCCCCTAACCCTCTCTGTAACCCCCTTCCCTCTAACAGGGGCGAGGGCAAGGTGGAGAGGCAGTATCGCATGGGGTGTGGGGAGTGCGGGGTGATGGTGGCGTATCGGAGCGAGGAGAGCATGGAAGGAGCCAAATTCGTCTACATTCCTGCTGATGCCCTTACGGACGCCACTGCCGACACTAAACCTAAGGTATTCACACTTACTCAGTTTCTTACTCATATATACACACAGCTGTGAAGTTCGCACACACACACTTTAGCGAGGAAGAATGGAGGGCCCCAAGTTTACATTCCTGCTGACGCCCTCACTGACGCTACTGCCGACACCAAGCCTAAGGTACTAACTCTCTCACACCCAGGAGTGAGATACCTCACGCACACACAGCAGCAGTGAGGAGAGCATGGAAGGTGCCAGATTTGTCTACATTCCTGCTGATGCTCTCGCTGACGCCACTGCCGACACCAAGCCTAAGGTATCCGCTCTTTCACAGCAGCAATGTACCCTGTTCGGTGATGCACACTGTGTGGACTCACAGCAGCAATGTACCCTGTTCGGTGATGCACACTGTGTGGACTCACAGCAGCAATGTACCCTGTTCGGTGATGCACACTGTGTGGACTCACAGCAGCAATGTACCCTGTTCGGTGATGCACACTGTGTGGACTCACAGCAGCAATGTACCCTGTTCGGTGATGCACACTGTGTGGACTCACAGCAGCAATGTACCCTGTTCGGTGATGCACACTGTGTGGACTCACAGCAGCAATGTACCCTGTTCGGTGATGCACACTGTGTGGACTCACAGCAGCAATGTACCCTGTTCGGTGATGCACACTGTGTGGACTCACAGCAGCAATGTACCCTGTTCGGTGATGCACACTGTGTGGACTCACAGCAGCAATGTACCCTGTTCGGTGATGCACACTGTGTGGACTCACAGCAGCAATGTACCCTGTTCGGTGATGCACACTGTGTGGACTCACAGCAGCAATGTACCCTGTTCGGTGATGCACACTGTGTGGACTCACAGCAGCAATGTACCCTGTTCGGTGATGCACACTGTGTGGACTCACAGCAGCAATGTACCCTGTTCGGTGATGCACACTGTGTGGACTCACAGCAGCAATGTACCCTGTTCGGTGATGCACACTGTGTGGACTCACAGCAGCAATGTACCCTGTTCGGTGATGCACACTGTGTGGACTCACAGCAGCAATGTACCCTGTTCGGTGATGCACACTGTGTGGACTCACAGCAGCAATGTACCCTGTTCGGTGATGCACACTGTGTGGACTCACAGCAGCAATGTACCCTGTTCGGTGATGCACACTGTGTGGACTCACAGCAGCAATGTACCCTGTTCGGTGATGCACACTGTGTGGACTCACAGCAGCAATGTATCCTGTTCGGTGATGCACACTGTGTGGACTCACAGCAGCAATGTACCCTGTTCGGTGATGCACACTGTGTGGACTCACAGCAGCAATGTACCCTGTTCGGTGATGCACACTGTGTGGACTCACAGCAGCAATGTACCCTGTTCGGTGATGCACACTGTGTGGACTCACAGCAGCAATGTACCCTGTTCGGTGATGCACACTGTGTGGACTCACAGCAGCAATGTACCCTGTTCGGTGATGCACACTGTGTGGACTCACAGCAGCAATGTACCCTGTTCGGTGATGCACACTGTGTGGACTCACAGCAGCAATGTACCCTGTTCGGTGATGCACACTGTGTGGACTCACAGCAGTGAGGGTGGCGTGTAGAAGCGAGGGGAGCATGGCGGGACGGGAGCCAAGTTTGTTTACATTCCTGCTGATGCGCTCACTGACGCTACTGCTGACACCAAGCCTAGGTACCTACTGCCCTCAGCTGAGCTCTCTCACAGCAGCAATGTACCCTGCTCGGTGATGCACACTGTGAGTACACACAGCAGTGAAGGTGGCGTATAGAAGCGAGGGGAGCGTGGCGGGAGCCAAGTTTGTTTGCATCCCTGCTGATGCGCTCACTGACGCCACTGCTGACACTAAACCGAAGGTATTCACGCACGCACACAGCAGTGAAGGTGGCGTATAGAAGTGAGGAGAGCATGGAGGGCGCTAAGTTTGTTTACATCCCTGCTGACGCCCTCACTGACGCCACTGCCGACACCAAGCCTAAGGTAGTCGCTCTAACTCTATTGCTTTCTCACACGCACAGCAGCAAGGTGGCTTTACAGGGGCGAGGGGCACAGACAGCAGCAAGGAGGGCATAGAAGGCACCAAATGCGTCTGCATTCCTGCTGACGCGCTCACTGACGCCACTGCCGACACCAAGCCTAAGGTAGTTGCTCTAACTGCCACCACTGTCCTACGTTTTTCTATGTCCAGCTCCACTATGTTTCTGTGCTGTTACCGTACAGGACGCGCCAGAACCGCCCTGCATCCAGGAGCTGGACAGCGGCGGGCTGGTGCAGGTGGCAATAGAGGTGGAGAATGAGAGGACACGACAGTAGGAAGCTAGGGCTAATTCCTCTCCTCCACCGCTCTGTTCTGCCCTGTTCTGTTACTGTCCACCGTACAGGATGCCCCAGTACCACCGTGTATCCAGGAGCTGGACAGCGGGCTGGTGCAGGTGGCAATAGAGGTGGAGGATAGGGCTCAACGTGCTTCCCATGTTTCCTCTAATAACTGGTTTTCTCTGTTCTATTTTTCTCTGTTTCTGTTGCCTCCCAGGACGCTCCCGTACCCCCCTGCATCCAGCAGCTGGACAGCGGGCTGGTGCAGGTGGCAATAGAGGTGGAGGATATGACTCAGCGCTCTGCTGTGCTCCCTTTGAACGACTGTTTCCTGTCCCGTTCTGTTCTGTTCCCCCCTGTTACTGTCTACTGTACAGGACGCGCCAGTGCCGCCCTGCATCCAGGAGCTGGACAGCGGGCTGGTGCAGGTGGCAATAGAGGTGGAGGAGGAGGAGGATAGGGGGTTACTGGTTCCTCCTCTAAACACCCGCTTTCTGCTTTCTCTGTGCTGTTACGCTCTGATGCTGTGCACTTTACAGGATGCACCAGTGCCGCCCTGCATCCAGGAGCTGGACAGCGGGCTGGTCCAGGTGGCAATAGAGGTGGAGGATAGGGCCCCCATGCCTATTCCGAGTCACTGATTCTGCTCTTTCCTGTGCTGTGTTTTCCGTGTACTGTACAGGACGCGCCAGCGCCGCCCTGCATCCAGGAGCTGGACAGCGGTCTGGTCCAGGTGGCAATAGAGGTGGAGGATAGAGCTCAGCGCTCTGCTGTGTCTCCTCTGAGCAACTGTTTCTTGTTCTGTTCTGTTCTGATGCCACACACCTTCCTCCCAGGATGCACCTGTGCCACCCTGCATCCAGGAGCTGGACAGCGGGTTGGTGCAGGTGGCAATAGAGGTGGAGGATAGAGCTCAGCGCTCTGCCATTCTTCGTACGTCACGCTCTCAGTCTCTTCACTCCCACTCTGTCTGTCACTCTCACTCTGTCACTATCTCTTTCACTCTGTCACTCTCTTCCTTTCTCACTCTCTCCATCTCACTCCTCACGTTGTCAGTGCTACACCCTCTCGCCCAGTCACACTCTAAAGTTGTTACTCTTTTTTTTTTTTTTTTTTTTTTTTTTTTTTTTTTTTTTTTTTTTTTTTTTTTCACTTTGCTGCAAACGTTTTTCACAACATGCAGCTGCATTGCTGTAATGATTTGCACACAGGTAGGTGCTTAAACAAACCCGTTGTGATCAAGTTTCTTTCAACTGTGATATGTCTCAACTATGTTGGTGCTGCTTTTGACTCAATATATATCACAACATCCCCAACCCAAGCAGGCATCAATGCGGACAATGTGCGAGTGGCAGTGACATCAAGTGCAACAAACAGACCTAAGCCCCCAATCTTTTTACCGCTCCCTCCCCTTTCCCTCTCTTTCCACCCTCCCACCAGGCATCAATGCAGACGATGTGCGGGTGGCAGTGACAGCAGCTGCACACAGGGGCAATGAGGCGAGTGCAGAGCTGATGGAGTTTCTGGCAAAGGTGAGATGGTGGTGTGTATACATGCCATGCCATGTACACGACTTTATACTATAGCACCCTATCCTCATCAACTGTCATCGGCCCTTTGGGGCAATGAGGCGAGTGCAGAGCTTATGGAGTTTCTAGCCAAGGTGAGATGGCGGTGTGGCTTATACATGCAGTACGTGAGATGTCATACATGATACATGCCACTCCAAATTCAACAGCACCTCATCGGGGCATCGAGGCCAGGGCAGAGCTGATGGAGTTGCTGGCCAAGGTGAGAGATGGTGTGGCTTGTGGGAACGTACATGCTTCCATACATGCAATGCCACATATAGGGGCCAGGGCAGAGCTGATGGAGTTGCTGGCCAAGGTGAGAGATGGTGTGGCTTGTGGGAACGTACATGCTTCCATACATGCAATGCCACATATAGGGGCCAGGGCAGAGCTGATGGTGTTGCTGGCCAAGGTGAGACCTCTGCATACTCCAACCTCTGCATGGCACTCTTCCCCCATTTCCCACCCCATCAGACGCTGGGGCTGCGCTTGGTGCAGCTAAAACGACTTTTGAGCTGACTGAAATGTGGTCGTGATGTGTCATTGAATGCAATATCCCATGCCTTGGCATGAAACTCCAACCTCTGCATCGAGTTCCATACTCTTCCCCCCTTTCCCCATCAAACGCTGGGGCTGCGCTTGGTGCAGCTGAGACGACTTGTGAGTTGACTGTGGTGATGTGTCATCCAATGCAATATCCCATAGCTTGGCATGAGACTCCAACCTCTTCATCGAGTTTCATACTCTTCCCCCATTTTCCACCCCATCAGACGCTGGGGCTGCGCTTGATGCAGCTGAGACGAGACTGCAGCGAGGGTGGTCCCACAAGTCCAAGATGACTGGAAGAACTGCCTCAAATTCATCTTTCAAACACCTTTCCCATCTCCCTAGCAAGCACCTGCCCCACCCCCACCCCTGCTCCTTGCTGCTCTGCATGCGATTGTCATTGAACCCTCCCCCCCCCATCAGACGCTGGGGCTGCGCTTGGTGCAGCTGAGACTGCAGCGAGGGTGGTCTCGCTCCTCTGTCCCCCTCGTCACCTCGCCAGCCTCCTTACTTCCAACCCTGCCTCATCTCATCCCCTGTTTCCACCCCACCCCCACCCCCACCCCCTCAGACGCTGGGGCTGCGCTTGGTGCAGCTGAGACTGCAGCGAGGGTGGTCCCACAAGTCCAAGATGCTCATGGTATGTGCAGTTGTAACACTCGTAACCGTGTCCTGCCATGGTATGTGTTGTTTGTGCGTGTATGTGTTCGTTGTACTGAGACTACTGAGACTGCAGCGAGGGTGGTCCTCCAAGTCCAAGATGCTCATGGTATGTGCAGTATGGTTACCGTGATACGCCATATGTGATGTTACTGTTTCGTTCATGTATGTGTTCATGGCACTGAGACATCTGAGACTGCAGCGAGGGTGGTCCCACAAGTCCAAGATGCTCATGGTAGGTGCAGAGCGGTTACCACGTAACCCTGTACGGGATGTCACTGTTCCGTTCATACGTACGTGTATGTGTTCGTTGTACTGAGACGGCTGAGACTGCAGCGAGGGTAGTCCCACGAGTCCAAGATGCTCATGGTGCGTGCAGGGCGGTTACCGCCGTGTAACCCCGTATGGGATGTTAGAGTTCCATCTGTACGTGTATGGGTTCATGGCACTGAGACTGCAGCGAGGGGGATCCTTAACGTCCAAAATGCTCATGGTATGTGCGAGTGCAGTGCAGCTGCTGTAAAAACCATGTATGGACGAGTGTAGAGTTCGCGTGCATGCAAGAGTGGTAACCAGATGTTGTTTGTACGTGTAAGCACTTGCACTCAGTGCATTGGCACTGCAACGAGGGTTGTTGTCCAAGTCCAAGATGCTCATGGTATGCACGGGCTGTCATGTGTAACTCTGTAGTCATTGTGTATGTGCAAGGATGGTGCCTGTACATGTGCAAGAGTTGTTTTTTTGTGTATGTATCGATTCGTTCCATCGGCACTGCAGCAAGGGCGGCCGTTGAAATTGCTCGTTGGATGTAAGTGTGAGTGCAAGTGCAGCTGCCATAGTTCTGTGTTTGCACTTATCTTTTCCTTTCTTTTCCATTCTTTTCTGTGTTTGTACTCATTACAGAGGACATCCATGGTGTGAGTCCATGTACAATGTTGGATTTGTTGTGGTATGCAGTGCAACGGCACTTCAGTTATTTTTTCCTTCTTTTCTTATATTCTCTGTTATGTGGAGGTCATAGACTAGTCCATTTTCTTGTGATACTTGTTAGTACGCACTTGTTCCTGAACACATGTGCATGCTTCAATGCCGATACAACCATGTGAATGCATGCATGTGAACCAAGGTTGCGCATTCAACCATGTTTTTCAAGCACATGCATACATGCACATGAGTGTTCATCCATTAGTGGCTGTGCATGCATGTGCAAATACATACTGCTTGTATGCAGCTACGGTGCAATGACTCTTGCACCCACCTCCTCCCCTCATTACGTCCTTCCCCTTATGCATCCTAACCCATTCCACCAAACCCTTTTCCTGTGACCCTTTTCCCTTTATGTTTTTTTAAGCAAACACTCCGCATTTCTTTTGTCGCTCCTCTCATTGTCCCCTACCCGTTCCTCTTTTTTTGCCGATTATGCTATCCTATCAGGTAGAAGACCTAACAGCAAGACAGGTGTATGAGAAGTTACTAGCTGCTGTACAACAATAAGCAAATCGTGTCGCCGTGTGAATCCATGTTTTTCAAGGCCGTACAAATGCGAACAGTCATATTCTTATAAACAACTAACACAAAGCGTCAAATGTTTGTTGTATGGCAGTGAAGCTGCATCCCGTAAGTCAACGTCGAATTACTCTAAGTTGGATCGAATATGCCCGCCAGCTTCTGTTCCTGCATCCATCCGATGAAGCGTTGCCAGTCCAACAGGCTCTCCTGCTCGTCCACGTCATTTCTGTCGGCGTCGTGTTCCTCTCTTCCCGCCAACTTGTAGTAGCTGGCAGGCCTCCGTATTGGCGCAATCTCACCCGGCCAGCCCCATCCGCCAATCGCTTCGTTTCACCTTCGTTTCTAGATCAGATGCGAATGGGCCGTTCGTTTTCGCCAGCTTTGAATCAGTTCGCCAGTTTCGCATCGTTCGGCAAATCCAAGCCCCACATTGGAAATCTCTCATCCTTCCACCTCGAATCTCCGTTTGAACTTCTCTCAGCCTCTCCCAACCTTTCTGTGACCCGCTAAAATCCAGCCAGCCCCTCTGACCCCCCCCAACCTCCCCAGTGAGCTCCCCAAGTTCATAATTCCCAGCCCAAGTTCCATTTGATCTAGAAGTTCCATTTGATCTAGCAGTTCCGTCTGGCCTGACGCAGATTTACGTTTGGTTTTGGAGATTTGCGGGAGGAAATCACTGCATAGTAATCGTTTGCGTTGGAGCTTCAAGCTTGAGCTTCTGACATAGTGGCAGCTGAGGCCGAGCACTAAGATCAGGAAGCGCTAGTTCCTCCGAACTGGACGCCAGCAATCTGACATCTCAGTCCTTCGTGACCCAATGGATCGGCGGGGTTTACGAGCAACCATTTTCATAGCAGCCGCCTTTTCGTTGCTAACTTCAGTCTCGGCAAGCGCTGGCGATACGGATCCGACATTCCAGTGAGTAAGACGCTGACGTCGTTCGCCAAAAAAAGAAAGAGGAAAGTAAGTATAAGCTAACAAAAAAACGGCTGATATGCTTCAGTTCGGTCACTGTCGTTCTTGGCTTCTTATAACCAGATAATAGAAGCGGAATTGATACATAGTTAATCAGGCTAACTGTGGCCGTTGGGACAACTCCCACACAAGGGACGACTGATGTGGATCTGGTCGTCTGAAGCCCCATACTTCAATCCCTTTCCCGTCTTCTTGAGTCTTTTCTCTTTCCATTAATGCTTTCATACTCGTTTGCCCATTCAAGTATCGATAGCTTACTCAAGTGACACATCAATAGAAATCAATATCCGCGCTGCGATCAAATCTGGCAGCATATTTTGGTGCAACATCCGGTCAATCTGCCCTCTCAGTAACGTACATGGCGTCCCGCACCGTACCGTATCCCACGTCATCGCAGCTTACTGCATTATAGGTCGTCGCATGGCACAACGTTTTAAGTCGTCGCATGGTACCATATTCGCGATCGTAGCATCATACGGTTTTTCCTAGGTCGTCGCAATGTACTGTACCCTTGGTGGTCGCATGATACCTCATTCTAGGTCGTCGCGTGGTGCCTTACAGCAAGTCCCGTGCCATCTATAAGACCCCGCTCTGTACCTCCACCACCCTCCATATATCTACGACCATCCTCCAAAACCGGGTCCGCTCAGGAATGTGTCTCTACACGCTGTTGCTTATAGTGTCTGGTATTCTATGGATGCGAAGTACAGCAAACACACAAATTCTTCACGTTATGGCAATGGTAGTACCCCTTTCAGTACTTTCGTACTATGTCCGGTCGGTCCAAGTTTTGTAAGTCTCAAGACACCGAACCCTCCCACTCCTGTTAGCGCCAATTGCTGCTCCCTTCCTGTCCTTTCGCCTCCCTATCTTCTTACCTCCGTTTCTGTTTTTTGCACTCCCTTCCTGACATTTCCCCTTATCTTTTTCCCCCCTTCCTGTCTTTTTCATTTCCGTCCCGTTTGGTCCTCGTCATGTCAATTCTTCAGGACGTGCCTGGCTGACTGCCAGAAATCAGGATGCGTGGGCGACCACTGCATTCCGGGCTGTCTTTCCTTTCCATGTCTACTCGTTTTCATGTCTGGTCATTCCTGTGTTTTCCTCGTCATGTCATTCTTCAGGACGTGCCTGGCTGACTGCCAGAAAACAGGATGCGTGGCCGAGCACTGCATTCCGGGCTGTCCGCCTGCAGCTGATTCTGACGGATTGGTGGCGGCTCCGTTAGAGCTCCGACTGCTGCGCTGGGACTGCGAGAGCGAGTGCAAGTACCAGTGCATGCGCGATATCCAAATGCCCGGGGTGCCTCAAGTGCAATACTACGGCAAATGGCCCTTCATCCGCGTTTTTGGCTTCCAGGTGAGACCCGTTTGAAGGCCTGTCTCATACCAAAGGGACCGAGAGAGCGAGTGCAAGTACCAGTGCATGCGCGATATTCAAATGCCCGGGGTGCCTCAAGTTCAGTACTATGGCAAATGGCCCTTCATCCGCGTTTTTGGCTTCCAGGTGAGACCCGTTCCAAGGCTTGTCTTATAACGAGGTATGACTACGAGAGCGAGTGCAAGTACCAGTGTATGCGCGACATTCAGATGCCTGGGGTGCCTCAAGTTCAGTACTACGGCAAATGGCCCTTCATCCGCGTTTTTGGGTTCCAGGTGAGGCTCGTTAGAAGGTGTGTCTTATAACGAGGTATGACTGCATGAACGAGTGCAAGTACCAGTGCATGCGTGTCACTCAAATGCCCGGAGTGCCTCAAGTGCAATACTATGGCAAATGGCCCTTCATCCGCGTTTTTGGGTTCCAGGTGAGACTCGTTTGAAGGCCTGTCTTTTAACGTATGACTGCGAGAGCGAGTGTAAGTGCATGTGCATGCGCGATATTTAAATGCCTGGGGTGCCGCAAGTGCAGAATTACGGCAAATGGCCTTTTATCCGCGTTTGGGGTTCCTGGTGAGACTCGTTTATAACCAGATGGGACTGCGTGAGCGAGTGCAAGTACAAGCGCATGCGCATTAATTTTTGCCTGTGGTGCCTTATATTCCTTTTACAGAGAATGGCCCTTCATCCGCGCTTTTGGCTTCCAGGCGGGTCCCTATGTTCACACGGTTTTCGAATTTGTACCTTGCCCACCATGCCCCATAGCCCACCATACTCCATAGCCCACCATGCCCCATAGCTCACCATGCCCCACTCACCATGCCCCATAGTTCATCATGCCCTACTCACCATGCCCCATAGTTCATCATGCCCCATAGCTCACCATGCCCCACTCACCATGCCCCATAGTTCATCATGCCCTACTCACCATGCCCCATAGTTCATCATGCCCTACTCACCATACCCCGTAGTTCACCATGCCCCATAGTTCATCATGCCCTACTCACCATACCCCATAGTTCATCATGCCCTACTCACCATACCCCATAGTTCATCATGCCCTACTCACCATACCCCATAGTTCACCATACCCCATAGTTCATCATACCCCATAGTTCACCATACCCCATAGTTCACCATGCCCCATAGTTCGCCATACCCCATAGTTCACCATACCCCATAGTTCATCATACCCCATAGTTCACCATACCCCATAGTTCACCATGCCCCATAGTTCACCATGCCCCATAGTTCACCATGCACCATAGTTCACCATGCACCATAGTTCACCATGCACCATAGTTCACCATGCCCCATAGTTCATCATGCACGATAGTTCATCATGCACCATAGTTCACCATGCCCCATAGTTCATCATGCACCATAGTCTCCCTCCCTCCCTCCCTCCTCTTTTTCCAGGAAATCGCGTCCTCCGCCTTCTCCATCCTCAACTTCCTAGCCACGCTCTACGGCCTCTACTCCTTCCTGCGCCTAGTTTATGTCAAGCTGCCGCGCAAGCCCATGGGCAACAAGGGCCCGCTGTACGAGTATTCAACGCTCATGGCCATCTATGGGCTCTTCGCCCTCAACTCCTGGCTCTGGAGCGCCATCTTCCACGCCCGGTACGTTCACAGGTGCTACGCGGTGCAGGTGGTATTTGATGTGGTAGTGTGAGCTGCTGCTGCCGCGCAAGCCCATGGGCAGCAAGGGCCCGCTCTACGCATACTCCACGCTCATGGCCATCTACGGGCTCTTCGCCCTCAACTCCTGGCTCTGGAGCGCCATCTTCCACGCTAGGTGTGTGCACAGTTCATATCCTATGTGTGTGGTATTTGGTGCAGGTGGCATTGGCACTTGGTCGTAGCTAGAATTTCAAAGTCGCACATTCAAGACTAATAATGGCAGGGTAAAGGAGTCAATGGTCAAGCGTTGTTCAAGGTTATGCGTGCAACGACACTGAATGATTGCCATTTTCTCCGGCGCCAACAATCTTGCTATTCCATGCTGCACTGAATTTGCCTGCAGTCAACACTACCCCGGTTCACCTGAAAAGCGTCAACTGATAGCGAAAGTTACGTCACCAACTATGGGACTAACAGCAGATGTGGCAAGTGGCGAAGACAGTGTCCTAGGCATATTCCTGCAACTTCCCACTTCTACTGTCGATCACATAGCTGGCTTTCGCCATCGTTTGATGCTGAAGTCTGCAATCTCGCCCGAAGCATGTCATGTAAGAAAGTTTTGTTGATGCCACGAACAGGCAAGGTAGAGTGACACCGTTCAAGTAAGTGGGTGAATCAGGGTGATGTTGGCAGCACAAGTGGGTTCAACGCAGCATGGAATGGCAAGCTTGTCAGCGCAGGAGGGAATGGTGAATGTTTAAAGGCCTTACAAACATGACCTTGCACGACGCTCAGGGGGGAATGGTGAACGTTCAGAGTCGTTATACACATGACCTTGCACGACGCTCAACCGCTGACTCCTTTCCCCGGTCATTTCCTATTTTCACATTGGCCATTGGCCGGCATGTTGTGGTTTCCAATTTTCTCACGGTGTTCCTCTCCATCAACCCCTGTCCTCTTCCTCTTCCCCTCTCCCCCCTCAGGGACGTCTGGGAGACACCGTCAGGCGATTACACATCGGCGATTGCCCTTATCGGCATGTCGCTGCTCGTCTGCATCATCCACATCAGCAGCCTGAGGGCCTTTTTTCTTCCGGCATCCATCCCCGTCCTCTCTCTCTTCTCCCCCTCTCCCCTGCAGGGACGTCTGGGCCACGCAGTCAGGGGATTATACATCGGCCATTGCCCTCATCGGCATGTCGCTGCTCGTCTGCATCATCCGCATCAGCATCCCTCTCCATCCACCCATGTCCTCTCCCTCTTTCCCTCTCCTCCTCTCCTCTCAGGGACGTATGGGAGACACAGTCAGGGGATTACACATCGGCGATTGCCCTCATCGGCATGTCGCTGCTCGTCTGCATCATCCGCATCAGCATCCCTCTCCATCCACCCATGTCCTCTCCCTCTTTCCCTCTCCTCCTCTCCTCTCAGGGACGTATGGGAGACACAGTCAGGGGATTACACATCGGCGATTGCCCTCATCGGCATGTCGCTGCTCGTCTGCATCATCCGCATCAGCAGCCTCAGGGAGGAGGCCACACGGGTCATGGTAGCAGCGCCTGTCATTGCATTCACCACCACACACATATTCTACATGAACTTCTATACTTTCGACTTTGGTGAGTGGGTGTGACTGTTGGGTAGGATGTGATTGAAACGAGCAGCTGTGTTTTCGCATCAGCAGCCTAAGGGAGGAGGCCACACGGGTCATGGTGGCAGCGCCTGTCATTGCATTCACCACCACGCTGATATTCTACATGAACTTCTACACCTTTGACTAAAGTGAGTGTGACTAAAACGAGGATGCCTGTACAGGGGTCATGGTGGCAGCGTCTGTCATTGCCTTCACCACCACGCACATATTCTACATGAACTTCTATACCTTCGACTTTGGTGAGTGAGTATGGTTACACCGAGGATGAATGTAATGGGTGTGATTGTAGCGAGCACATCTGTATAATAGCAGCCTGAGGGAGGAGGCCACACGGGTCATGGTGGCGGTGCCTGTCGTAGGGAGTTTTGCCCTCCCTTCCCCCTTAACAAAACCACCTTTTACAATCCTCCCCTTTACAATCCCTTCCTCATAACGCAGATTGGAACATGGTAGTGTGCACTGCCATGGGAATCACACAGCTGCTCCTTTGGACCATCTGGGCCATAGCCAGCCGGCACCCAATGAATCTCGCCATTTCTCCACTGCACCCCTCCTCTTTCCCACCCCTCTTCTACCCCTCACCACCCCTCCCCACACCCCTCTCCCTCACCGAATCCCCTACCACTTGCCATTACTTGACCCAGATTGGAACATGGTAGTGTGCACTGCCATGGGGGTGACACAGCTGCTCCTCTGGACCATCTGGGCCATAGCCAGCCGGCACCTTCATCTCTGCACCTTCCTTTCCCCCCTTTCCGCTCTCCACACTCCCACTACACTCCCACTACACTCCCACTACACTCCCACTGCACTCCCCGCTACTACAGATTGGAACATGGTTGTGTGCACAGCAATGGGGGTCACACAGCTGCTGCTCTGGACCATCTGGGCCATAGCCAGCCAGCGGCTTTCCACGCCTCACCTCATTATACCGCACTGCACTCCCCCCACAACAGATTGGAACATGGTTGTGTGCACTGCTATGGGAGTCACACAGCTGCTGCTCTGGACCATCTGGGCCATAGCCAGCCGGCACCCCTCTGCCTGGAAGGTTCTCTTTGTGTCTGGCGGCACGGCTTTCTCCTTGCTGCTTGAGCTCTACGATTTCCCGCCGATTCTAGGCCTGTTTGACGCGCACTCGCTGTGGCATGCGGCGACCGTGCCGTTCACGCTGGTGTGGTGGAGCTTCCTGTGTGACGATGCAAGTTATCGCACGCAGATCCTTCTCGCCACGAAGAGGGCAGCGGGAGAATCGAAGAAGGTGAAATAGAGGGATCATTGTTTGACTGGATAACATGCTTTTGAAAAGAGGGAGTTCGCACCTCCTTATTGTTATTTGATGAATAAACTATAGTTGATTGCCGGCAAGTCTATACATTCGAACCTGCGCATGTGGGGTCTGTCTGTTTCATGTGCATTTGCTGTGGCATATGGTGACCGTGCCCTTCACGCTGGTGCGGTGGAGCTTCCTGTGTGACGATGCAAACTACCGCACGCAGATCCTGTGTGCGATGAAAAGGGGTGGGGGGGGAATTGAAGAATGTGAAACAGAGGAATATTTGTGGTTCATTACAGCATGTTAGCGATAAAAGAAATCTGAAGGGGCCTCTTAAAATGCTAATCAATCAATATAATTCAGGTGTAAGCCCCTGGCCCACAAATGTGTTCCTACCTATATCAGGTCTGTGTGTTTTGTAACGCACGCAATCGTACTCTGATTTGTGCTGATTATGTGATCGGGTGCCTGCTGATGGGATGTCTGATTGCCAAAGGTGAACGTGGGTCGCGGGGAGTTGCAACAAACCATATTGAACAGGAAGAAAGTGGTAATTGGTCGTGCCACGAAATAAACATTGTTTTTTAAGAAGTTGCTCACTATGACCTAGCAATTTGACTCGCCCTTATACCGGATCATCTGTCATTGTGCTGGCTGGCAGGGTAGATTCACCGCGGTGCGTCACCTGCCAAGGGGGATGGAAATGGACACTGCTCAAGGCACACCGCACTGCGGTGGCAAGTGCCAGCCAGCGTGACTGACTGCGTGGCGGAATCGAGTCCAGGCGAGTCACGAATCCACAACGAGAGCCTCGTTGTGGTTTGCCTTTCCACCTCCCTCACAATCCCCCGAACCGAACCCAAATCAGTCGGTTTGCCTTCCCGCCTCGTCGCGGCTCGCTCGCGAGTACGGTACACCCATGGCTGGCAACATCCAGCGCATGCCCTACTGCCCACAAGAGCGCGTTTGGACGACAGCCCTCTCGGAAAGAAGGGCGCACTCCATTCAGACCAGAGGTTCGGAAGGAAGACCGTGGAGTACCAGCTCATATAACTCAACGAGACTGCAGCGACGCTCGCCTAAAGCCATCGATGTGGTGGTAACTTTCGCCAGGGGCCCCGACCCTCCCTCCCGAGGCATAAAACACGCTCTTATGCCAAGCCATCCCAAGCACTTCTCCCCATCCCCTCCGAAGATCCCAGCGGAATTCGGTCGACGGAGCCGAATTGCCAGGGTCGACGAGGGGGGTCGACGGAAGGGGGCCCGACGAGGCGGGCGACTGACGCGCGTGCGGGCCCGCCAGCCTGGCCCAGGGCTGGGCCGAGCGCACGACCGCCGCCCCGCAAACCCCCCCCCCCCGAAAGTGAACAGCGACCCACGTTACCGGGTGGGGGCGGCGAGCTGGCGAGACCTCGCGCGAGGGAAAGTAACCCCGGCGCGAAGGCAGCCCACCCGTCCCTCCTGCCCGCGAGGTCCTAGTAACCCATCGCGGCCTGCCCGTACGGGCAGGCGAGGCCCGTGCGAAATTCGGGGGCTCCCCTCGGGACGATTGGCGATTTCGCGACCCGTTGCGGTGACGCCACGTGCCCGCCCGTCGTTTCGCATCGTTTTTTCTATGCATGCGACATTTCGTACTCGCCGAAAATCGAGCGAAGTCCTGGGTCTCTCGCACCAAGGCGCACGGTTTTCGCGACCCGCTGCGAAATCGACACGTGGTGCCGAAACGTCGCACCGCGTGCATGCGAATTTGCGTCCCCTGGCTGACCGAGGCCAGGGGACGTGACGTCGACCTGCTGGCTCGGCGGCGAGGGTGCACTTGTGCCACGCCACCCGTGCACGAGCCCTGCCGAGCCAGGGACCACGGCCCCCTGGGCGACGCTCAACCGGGCCTGCGAGGCTCCGCCTGGCTTTTCTTCGTTGGAGGTGGGCTGTCCCCTTCATTTTCGCGTTCTCGTTTCTCTTTCATGTTCTTTTCCCACCTCTGCGCCTTCCATTCTCCCACCGTTTCTTCCCTTAGCCCGTAGCATAGCATCCTCGCTCTCCCGCCATGGCGGCCGACCAGAAAGCCGACGAAGCGACGCCGACCTCGCGCGACTTCCCCCTGTATCTAAGCGTCGGTAGAGGACTCACATCCAAGTTCGAGGAACACGACTACGCCGTTCTGACAAATCCTATGCTAGAGTTTAACGCCCGTTGCTTGGGACTCGGCCTCAAGTGAGTGACGTATGGGGATGTCGGCGTCGTTATTTCATGCTGGTGATAGCCCTAGCGTGGTTTCATAATACCCGTCTTTTAGGTCGACGGACTCATGGGTTAGGGATTAGGGATGTCGATCACATCGGTGGCGCCGACGTAAGGTGTCTGGTCGGCGTAGGCGATGCGTTGTGCCATATTCATTCGGCTCTCGTCGAATCCCCGACCCGTCGTGTTATTGCCGCAACCGTAGTATCTGCCGGCGTCCCGACCACATCCTCACGCACTCCTCCTGATCATGCATGCGTGCAGGCACGCATGGTTGCGCGGAACGGAGGAGGACCAGCGGCTGTGGTCGATAGGAGTCGGCCGTCTTAGGGCGGCGATGGGTCAGAACGACCATACCGTCTTCGCGAAGGTTTTTGACGCCGACGTGGCGGTTATCCCACTGATATCGAGGTGAGGGTGTTCGGGGTCGTCGCGCGTGTGGTGCAACCTGCGTCGATTATGTGTTCTGATCTATGTCGACGTCCATTGTCTGTGCAGCATCGCACCGCTTCCGGGAACACATTGCAGCGTCATTATCATCCTGTGCCCCGGCGACTTGTTGAAGGCATCGGGCCAGTTGATCAGGACCTCGATCCGGCACGCCGACCCGCAGACTGTGAAGGAGTGGCACATCAAAGAGGCGAAACGCGTGCTGGAGTGAGCTCAATAGTGTAGTCGACGCCGCTTGCGTTGTCAATGCGGAGCGTGCACCGTGCTAACTGACCGTCTGTGCCATGCTTTGCAGGTTTTTCCGGGCGGCTGTAATGGCCGAGCTTCGGCGCGAAGGTAGGAAATGGGACTGGGCGAAGCCGTCCGAGGAGGAGGTGCATGCGAGGCTCGCCGACTGCGACGAACCCCTTCGAGATGTGAGTTTCGTACGTTTGGTGTCAATTCCTTGCGCGATGCAACTGCCGTTCGTCCTTGCGAGATGCGACTGCCGATCTCGGTGCTCATATCAGCGCTCTCCTGTGTTGTGTGCAGAAAGTGCCCGACACCGTCCGGGACGGGGACGCGGGCTCCGGCCTGCTAGCAATGAGCGCGTTGCTCTGGGCTGTGAGGCGGAAGGATCGGTTGGCCGGCGCCCTCCGTCGCAGTGCCACCAGCATGGACAAGGTCGCTGTTGCGGGGTTGAAGGGGCTGCGGACTGAGATGGTAGCCTTCATCAAGAAGCAGGTCGCGCTCATACGGTCGGGCCGAAACGTAGTTGCGGCCGACGTCTGTGACGACGACGGCGAGGAGGTTCAGTCGGCGCCCCAAGCTGGCGGTGTCGCCCCTGCCGTCGCTGATGCGCGTGGCACCTCGGTCGGGAAGCCGGGTAGCGGCGTCGACGAGGCCGATGCGGCAGCAGGACATGGGGTGGCCGGGACCGAGGAGAAGCACCGGGACGAGGTTGTTCATGGGGATGATGATGGGGTCCAGGGTCGTGAGGCGGATCGTGAGGATGAGGGGGGCTCGGAGGAGTCGGAGTCGGAGTCGGAGTCGGAGTCGGTGTCGGAGTCGGTGGAGGAGCAGGAGCAGCAGGAGCAGAAGAAGCAGGAGCACGAGAGGCAGCACCACGAGCAGCAAGAGGAGCAGCATGACGAAGAGGTGGACGTGGAAATGGCGGAGGGGAACGTTGCAGAAGGAGCGGCGGAAACGGGTGGGAGATCGGCGGAAATCGAAGGAGAGGGGAAGGGGGCGACAGCGGAACCCAGCAAGGAGGTCGGCGAGGAGGCGGCTCACGGGGGGAGTGGGATGGTCGTTGTCGGCGAAGGGAAGGAAGTTGTCGACCTCGAGGCCGACGAAGATGGGGATTTCGCCGCGGCGACGAAGCAGACGGGCGTGGAAATGCATACCGATGCTACCGCAGAGAAGGCCGGGGGGGAGCGGTCCAGGAAAAAGAAGGCGGTGAGCGGTCATCCAAGTTCCACCGCAGTTGGTCGGCAGGCGATGCCGGACGTCGTCGAGCAGCTGCGTGCGGAGAACCGACAATTGCGTGCCGACAATGCACGCTTGCAACGGCAGCTCGGTGATCAGGCGGGGCGGGTCGACTGCTTGGCGGCGGCGGTAGCTGGGATCCTCGACAAGCTCACGGCATTGACCGCCCAGGTTGCGGACACCGACCGGAAATCGGTGGAGCGCCTCAAAGAGGCCACGTCGACCATGGCGGCCACAATCACCGAGGACCTCACCAGCAACCTGGAGAACGCAGTTGAATCGGGCAAGAGGTTTGCCGAGCTAGCGAGGCAGATGCTGCTGGATATTGACGCCCCCAACGGACGAATGGCGGTCGCTCGAGCGACCGCGGTGGACCAATTGGCCGACCACGTGACGGGTGAGGTGGGTGAGGCGAGGAAGGCTTTGGAGGAGACGTTCATAAAATACATCGGCGCCGCGCAGACCAACATTGCAGCCGCCGTGTCTCCCCGCCTCGTCGTGCAGCCGCCGCCGCCGACCACCCCAGCGCAGGCCTTGCCGGAAGAGTTCCTGAATTCATTCAAGGAGGATCTGCTGAAGGCGGTGACGGAGGTCACGCAGCAGTCTTTCCTCGCCTCCGGTTTGAAGATAATGACCGAGATGGTCGGCACTGTGGCGACCCAAGCTCGGCGTGGGTCGTCGCCGTCGGCCAACGACGCCGGCCATGCGCAACCTATGGAGGCCACGAAGCAGGGTCTGAAGAGGGGGGCAGGCGGCGGGGGGGGCGACGGAGACGACGCGGGGAGCACGAAGCGGAGCAAGGGAGGGGGGGGTTCTCGCGTCGCCGGCGACGGTAG